CTCCACAATGAACAGGAAGATAACAGCATCTTCCCCCCCAACCTTTTTTTTTTTTTTTACATTATTATTTGCAGGCCTATTTTCCTGTAGAAAATTTGGGGAAAGCAGGTTTTCAGATTTGACCCACTTATTAGAACTTGGGGGTAGGGGCTGTGCTGGCATACCTTACTACGGCTTACTAGTCTACCCATTGGAGCTTATGGGCTGGCAGCAGGAAAGAGCTGGAAAGCCACAGAAGATCCACAAGTTTCCCGAGAACTTCTCGCTTCATTACAGCTGAGATAAGGAACAAACTGATGCCATTGAAAGACTTAGTGATTTGGCCCTCCTCCACATCCCAGAAAAAGGTAGCACCATGGCTACCAGCGGTTCAGCAGGCTTTTCTCTATAAGCCAAGACGAAAGGTGTAGAAGTTGCCCACTGTAGATGCCAAGAAACTGACTGCTGCGTTGGGAAGCTTTCAAAAAGGAAGACTGCGGATTTTTGACTGGCAGGTCTCTCCTCCATAAAACATAGACAGGACACTGGTGTGCCAGTCAGAACACTCTACAAACATGCTTTCAATATTCAGGGTGAAACACTAATGGAAAACAAATGGCAAAAATAATTAAAATCAATGTTAGTAGTTGAGACTATTAGCAAATATTAACATGTTATTCTTAAAACATGTGCCAAATTGTGCAAACTTCTGTTACTGAGCCCTTGTGTTCTGGGGCCTCCCAGCTCCAACAGAAATTCTGCAGGTATAATGGTCAACACAGATCAAATTGTAGCATGTATATCATTTTTAACCTGCGCGTCCCTTAAGTCTTCACATCGCTATGAAGACAGTTCATTCATCAGAGGAAGGAGACAAGCAGGCTTGTCTTTAAACAAGGTCAAGAAATAATGTTTTCACAATTTTTTAATTTAGACTGAGACTGAAAAGTAATTTTTTTGTAAACTCTAGAAGATTTATGGCAAGATTAAGAAGAATTAAAAACAAAAGCAAAACGACAATACAAGGTGAACAGACCATAACTTTATTGGAGATATACTCAGCTACAATTATTACAAAAAACTATTAAAGGTAATTGTGATCCATAAGGTGCAGATTGCAAACTTCTGCAGCATGATTACAGTATGAATGAATTACATTTTATGTCCCTTAAAGACAGCTGCAGCATGTGATGGTAAATATCTTATTGTCCATCAAATTATATTTGTTATTCATTCTACTTGATTTTAACCATCTTTTCAGTCAAACTATTTACAATAAAAATGCCTGCAATTTCCAATTCTTGTTCACAAACATTTTTCTCTCCAACTTGCTGCTGCAGTAAATTCTGAGTGCATCTACAAAGCAATTAAAGTAGTCTGTGGTTGCCATTCAAATAAGAGAGGGAAAGACCCAAGGACTTCACTGGATAAAATTTATTTTTAAGAAATGTAGTTAGCTTTGACAGAAGTTAATTTTAACTGCTAGTGGAGTATACTACAATGACCTCTAGATATTTGCTAACATAATTCAGACTGAGTTACAGTTGATATTTAGGTTACATTTCATGGCCATGAACTGTGGTGTTTAAAGTTTTAAACCTAATACAAAAGTAAAGAAATTAACTTTGACTTCTTAAAAATTAGAGTGATAGGAAAAGGATCAATGTCAGTAATTAAGTACCAAAAATCAAAATCCTTCTCGCTTTACTCACGCAATAAATACAGGTATTTCCATGGGAATGTTTTCTTCGGGAACCCCACCCAAAACACACAAACCCAGAATACTGTCAGCAAGTGTAGTATCACAGCAGACCACGATGCTGTTCGTCATTTTCAGATTACGTGTGCTGCTGTGACTGGGATACAAAGATTTCACTTTCTATACAGACAAATGCATGTAGCATAGTTACATCATATGCAGCAACATAAACCCCACATTTTCCAGTTTATGGTTCTATATTTGCTTACAAGGAGGAAAACCCAAACTCTGCAACATACATATAAGCACAAGATCTTCAGGTATGTAAAAGAATGCAGTTCCATCGATTAAAATGATACCACATCAATTTGCACTAACTGAGGATCTGGCACCTCATCCCTGGGCCACCACTATATTCCTCCCCAGCACGGAAACCGGTTCTTGTCCAAGTTCTGTACTCTGCAGTCACAACATACTATTGTGTAATGAAACTTAAAAATAGTAGGCTTTTTTTCTGTACGGACTTCAGCAGCATCAAGCTGAACAAACACTTCAGAAGTCTCTACTGGGTGCTCAATATTCAGACTGAGCAGAGATTTAGTTGAGGCTGACCAAATTACTAGGGGCTGTCTTCTCGCAAAAACTACATGATACACATAATATGTTGGTTTGTTCAGAGATAATTACTGGAGTGTCAGAGGTCATTCTAATTTTAATTACTTCACATAACAGTAAAATGATGTAGTAGAAAAACAATAGCTTTAAAATACAATCAAGAGTTGTTACACATCTTTGTTGTATTTCTCCACATACAGTAAAAATGCCACAGACATTACAAATGACCTATTTAAGTTGTGCAAGTAAATGACACATTGCAGGCATTATAATTATCTTTTTCAAATTCAGTAAATCAGAACAGCAGCAAGGCCAAACCACATTTTTCCTCTCTGTTAAGCATTTTTTTCCTTGAAATGAGGTAAAGCATGGTACCAAGTGCAATGCTTATTTGTGCTACATGAACAGAACAGCGCAAAAAAAGCCATAAAAATAAAAACGCAGCATAGTTAGGAGGACTGTTTAAAGTACAGTATAACAGGACCTAGATAAAACAAAAAAAACCCAACAAGGTTCATGCCAACTAACCCCCACACTATTTATGATGAGCCTGTGTGGTTGCTTTTGAAGATGGGTTGCAACAGTCTGCTTTACACTTGTGCTTATAGCATGTCAAGTGATTTCTACCCCAACCTTCAAGTGATCAGATTTAGGTCTTTAATACACTGTCCAATATCAAAATCATGGGGTAAAACACACAGATGTATAACATGGAAACTAATATGAATTTTCTATCTCAAAGGATAAAAAATATTTCAATGAGGTCACACTGGAAAAAATTATGGCATTTAAAACGCATTTAAAAACACATCAGCAGCAGAAACTACTTTATAGTCAGCCACTACACATTTCAGATTTCCAATTCATAGGCTTTATCTAGTAACAAAGTAATCATTAAACTATTCTGAAACACAGAGCAAGTTCAGTTCACTTTCTTTGCATCAAAACACTCTGTAGCACTTTACTGCGAACAATTACCTGAAACCCCTGAGACTCTATAACCTTGTAACAATCAGCAAGAAATTTTAGGCATTCAAAGACTAACTTAAATTTTAGTTTTTCATAATGCAGTTAAAACTACTTAAGATTTACTAGATGGTCTGATTTTATCTGCTGATTGATGTCTGGCCAGAAACACAGAATTGTTAACATTAGTGATCATGTGTTTTCTCCAAGAAACTTCACTCCTACCACGAAGGAACTCTAACTTAAACCGGTAACTATTTTTTTTTTTTTTTAAAAACAGCTAACTCAAAGCCATTTGCCTTTGAAAATTTAGACTGAATGCTTTTACTGTTCCATCTCATTTACATTTGTTTTATACACATCAAGACTTGCAGGTCTTATACTTTCCTGTTATATTTTCATGACTGAAGTACCAAACAAATGCTAGAAATTTTTATAAGCTAATATTTTAATTCTCGGTCTGACTAGTATAACAATGCTGTTTTCAAATACAAGAATAGTCCTTTTGGCAAAATGAAAAATGACTGAGATAGAAAATATATGAACTTTTGAAAACTGTATTTCAGAAGAGCTTAATGTCTACCCCTTGTCACTAAGGCTTTTTTTTTTTGTTAAGAAAGCAAGAGCTGACAGTTTTTGTTTTGTTTTAGTGTGCATTTGTGAGGAAAGGAATAGGATTTAAAAGCAGGAAATACAGTATTTATTTGTAATTTAATACATAAGACACAGCATCAAGTTCAAACTATTGTGCTGGAAAACGTTAAAACACCTTGCTCTGCTTTCTCAAACTTCAAGCATAATTAACAGGGCAAAATTGCAGCAAACCTCTACTGATATTGGTGGGAATACGAGACCCACAGCTTTTTTAAAAGGTAAATTAAGAGGTATTATAGTTACAGTGCAAAAAATTAAAATTTCAAGCATAATATATAAACATAGCACCAAAACAGAAAAAAACAACGCATGCAAAAAAAGAAGGAAAAGAAAAGAAAAAAAGAACTGAGGTATTTAAGTGAAGAGTGCCTACAAAAATCTAATTAAAGAAGTATAGGCAAAGCCTAAAAAATAAAAGTATGATTTTCCCCCCACCCCCAGTAGACCAAAACACCAATGAGCTAGTTTCTCTAAATTAAGGACCTAAATCACAGATGTATCAAAAGTACGGCAGTAATATCTCAAACATCAACGTTCATGTTATTTAACAGCACAGCTTTGGTAGGTGAAATACGCATGCAACTCTGAAAAGTACAGTAAGAAATTTACGTGGAAATATCTCTAAGTGTAAAGGTGCTCTGTTTGTTAAATACGTAACCAATTGACTATAAAATCTGCAGCATATTTTAGGTGTGATATGTCTAAGGTTATTTTGTTAGAGTGACAGTTTGCACTGTGCAATTATTCATTACTGTTTCCAGTACTGGAACTATCTAGCTTGCAGGTTTGTGAAAAACTGGAATTTTAGCCAAAGACCATATTTTGTTTACGGTATAGAAAAAAACTGTAGGCTAACCACCTCCCCAGAATTGTTAAAAATAACCTAATTACATACATATGAATACAACTTCTATTATAATCCTGTAATAAGTCACAGCTATAGTAATGAGTTGTACTGTAAATATAGAGCTGTATCACTGTAAAATGCATAACAAAATGAAGGGAATGTAAAACGGTTTGTTCCAAAAAAGATCAGAAATTAAAGATTATTAATGAGGGTTTATTTATTTTTAAGGCAAGAACCTTTTTTTATGCAAGACTGTGTGGTATAAGGAAACTGAAGTTTCATTCTACCAGTATGCCAGCCATTTCAATTAAAATCTGTCCCTAACAAATAAGTGCAATAATGACTGGGAATGCCATCTTAATGTAAGAAGATGACATGGAGAGAAAAACGAAAAAAAGAAGAAAAAAAAGAAGAAAAAAAAATGAGAATACTGGCACACTTTATCTTTCTTATACCCAATCATCCAGCACAGTTTATCAACTGCTTTATGACTGGCACTAGTGCACAGATTGAAGAATTTCAAGATTACTATATATAAATCTAACAACTGCATTAGGCATAAGCTCCCTGGCCTTCTAACACTAAGCAAAGCTGTACTGACGATAAAAGTAAACCAAAAAGACCTGACAACAATTATTCTGAACACTTGCTAAATGTCATCATTAAAGCACTCTCGTGATTAAACAAAGCAGAAGTGAGGAAAGAAGACAAGATTGTGTTTGCGCAAAAACTATAACTACAATTAGTTCCAAAATTTTATACATGTTAAATGTTTTGTTATCTATTCTGTTATCAAACTTTAAATTCTGTCTTCCAATTTGTTCCTCTCAACATCAACATTTTCAAAAATTCACTTTATTTGTATGTGGGTTTTTTTCCCCCCATTTCATTTATTTTTAAGAGGAGTCTCAGCTGTTTGGGACCTGAGGTTGATTTGCTTTGAGGCTTCGTAGTGCTCTTCTTGCAGCTGCAGATTTGGCAATCCTGTAGCTTCTGCCAACACCTTTAAACTTTCCCTTTCCTACAACTTCCACTGTTACTCTGACCTTTCCATCGTAAGTTCTTTCTGCAGGACTGCGAAAATATACACAAGAATTACTTACTGCCTAGGCAAGTTAATGTGAAATAAGAGACCTAAATTCTCTTTTCTACAGAAGTTAAAGCAGTACAGTTAAACAGAAATCATTACTTTTCTCAGAAAATTATGCAAGGAAAAACGTAAAAATCAGTGAACACATTGATCATGCTAGCTGCTTAGTTCAAAGGAAATTAAAAGTAATTTAAAAATCCTCAGTAGTTTACGAAGCACAGCTTAAAAACATTTTATGGCAGCGTGTACCAAACGAAGTGTATTCTTACCTAAATTTGGCTGTCTCTGGCTCCATCTCCAGCAGCTCTCGCACTGGGGAACGGGGCACATTAGCAGAAAACTTTTCTATTTGGGAAAAAAACAAAACAAAACAAAACCCCAAAAACCTTAGCTTTGTTCCCTTCATAGCAGATGGCACTTAATTTTTTTTTTTTTCTGAAAGTTGACAATACCTATTAATGGCCTCATCATTGGATAGTACACTTGCCAAACCATTTCCAAAGACATTCCACTATCCATATAAATGGCACCAGCAAGGGACTCAAATATATCCCCCATGGCCTTTGGTACTTCAATGTCTTCCTCTTTTTCTTCATCTTCTTCAGATCTTCTGAGCTGTTTACAATTAAAAAGAGCCAAGGCGGGGGAGGGAGAGAGAAGGGGAGGAGAAAGGAGAGAAACAATTGCTTCTTTTAAAATAAAGCAAAGCTCTTCAGAAATGTAAGCTCTCTTACATCCTATCCTGAGCTGCTTCCTTTAAGTTTTTCATTGACAACTTTCCACAGTGAAATTGTTCTTTTATTCCCCAATGAAACCAAGTTGCTGGAAATAACATTTTTCAAATGTGAAAAAAAATCTCAAACACCACTGCATACAGAGACCTTATATGCTTTGTGAATTCCTCCCGTAATAGTTCTGTAGGATTTCACCATAGGTCTGCTTTTTCCAATAAGAAACAGACTTGGCTCTATCAGTTAATACTAGAAAGCTACTCATAAGAAAGCACAAGTTCATACATTAATCATGTCTTACAAGGAGACGTCAAAATCTGTAAGTCTAATCTCTGGATGAAAGCTGGATGTACCTTTCCTTACCTCACCTACCCCAGAAGACAAGCATGAAACAAGCATTAGCAAAATAACCATTAATAACAGATAACCAGCAACATCAGACTGAACTAACAGGCACACTTAGGTATTTTTTTAAATGTAGCAGGCAGTGTTTTCTTCTATGCTACTAATTTAGGACAATAGTCTATTCTCATTATTAAAACTAAACATCTTAAAGGTCTAGAGTTAATCTAATCCTTTACTAAAAATACCTGAAATATATAACATACATTCACCTAAGCCCAAACAAGGTAACCTGAAAACAAAAGTTCTTGACTATTACTCTCCTCTACCTAAAAAGAAATAAGTTTCTGTTGGTCTTTTCCCCCAGCAGCACCCCTCTCACTCCAGTTGGCCCCTATTTAGGGTTTAAATCTCAATTCAGTTCTTGTAAGAGTCACCATACTACTTCATAAGCTAGTCTCACCTAATACTTCTACTTAAAATAAATCAAACAAGAAGTCAGACCTGATGTGTACACACTCCAAACTGGAATTCTGATGTTAAAAAACAAATTCAACTGTTCTGAATAGTGTACTTCATACCAAGTGCAAACTGAAGCACTTTTGAGTTATACTGAAATAATAGGAGGAGAGAGAAACTAAGAGCTATAAGGCAAGGGACAACAGATGTTTCAGGAGTGAGATTTTAAAAAAGAAAAGCAGATGACGTGGAGACACACATGGAAACCAGTCTAGCTGGCATGAACGGCAGAAACAAAGACGCTTGCATTAACTCTGATGAAATAAGAGTTTCAGTAATTCAGTGCCAGACCAAGATAGGGAGCAGGCGTAGGGAGAGTGAAACAAGAATTTTATTTGAAACAGCTATCACGCAATTTGGTTGCAACTTTGGTGGAAGATTCTAGGCAATCTTTCTGCATACTAGTAAAAACTGAACACAGCTAAAAATCACTACTATAAGCTCTTAAAATAAGTTTTTAGCCTTTTCGCTCATACTGTGAAGAAAACAAGATGAATAACAGAGTCTGATCCTCTGATGTGAAATAATTTATATTATCTAAATTTCAGTAACAAATTTCTTAGTCAAGGTTTTCTGAACCTTCCCATAAAAGATACAGATTTCACTCTGATTTCAACAGAGTGCAAGAGCTGTAAGCACGTATATGTAACTGAAGTATTTTGATTCCTAAGCTTTTAAATTATGTATTGGAAAGAAGAAATTACTAAAGGCAAAGATAACATGTTTATTTAGTGTTGGAGTATTCTCAGACAGAGTATTTTCTACAAGATTGGTCAGTTTTTCAGGAGACAAACTATTAGGGATATCTATTGGGTAACACTTTTAAAAAAGGGATAATGAGAAAGTCCATCTCTTCTAGGACTCTGATTAGAATTTGACTCACAAGGCCCTTGCTCTCATACATTTTCTGGAGCACCTTTTCTAAACGAGTTAGTTTTAGTCCATTCTCCAGCAAACAGATGTTCATTATCGTTAGCTTTCCTGCATAGCACAGATATGATCTGTGTTTGCAAGTCTTCAGTTAAACTATTTTTTTGAGTTGCTTATTTGAAAGATGCATATAATGTTTTCCTGGCTAGCAGAAATAACGTCTTTAGGAGTATGTCAAACACCCCTGAGTACAGTGCAACGACACCTGCTCCAGTAGAAATCACAGACAAAACACAGCGGAAATCTCTGTCAGTGTGCTACATTAAATAATCCCAGCATTGTGCCAAGGTATTGTTCATGATGTTGCATGGATATCCTATCCTGAGTCAGCATTATGTGACTCAGTAACTCTTCTTCACAATTTTATGGTATAATACTGCTTCCAATCTGTCAGTGAAGAAAGGAAGCTGAGCATCTCCCGCCATGTTGTTCTAGCACCACCACAAAAGCAAAATAGTGACTGAAATCAAGTGTCACAGAAATATCTAGTGGAAAACTAGTTTCAATTATTTTCTGAATGTTCTTTATTGACTTTGTACTTTAAGATGACTGTATTTTACTTTGCATATTGCATGTTTCATTACCAGAAGCCTGCTTCTATGGCTGCTGTGGGCGTAAAACTAAAACACTACAAAAATACGCATCACACTAACATCCAGTGACATGCTTCAAAATCAGATACTGAACACAATTCTTCTACTTCCACTAACCTCAGAATCCATTCCTTGCATTTCATTCTTTTCCATTTGAAACTGCACAAAGTCATCAATAACATGAAACAGTTCAGGAGAGACAGCTTTGAAGTACTTGTGGTAGTCATATTTTACAGCTAATGATGCAAAAATGGTATTATTGACTAGAGCAGATCGTAGGTCAGTAAGAACTCCTGGAGAGTGTTGCCGTGGGTCTTCATAAAGGTGCTTGGTTATGAGGTAGTCCAAAATTGCATCTCCCAGGAATTCTAAGCGCTGGTAACAATCTTAAAGCATTGGAAATAGAAGAATGTACATCAACACAATTAAGTTTAACACACGCATTCTTTCCAGGTCTTTCTGGATAGGAGGTTTGGTACACTGCCATGTAAATTCCACAAACTAACCAATGCTCAGAGAAGACAATCTGTTTTTTAGAACAGGTACCTTTGTGTTTAAAGAGATTGTTACTGAATTATTTAAATAGAAAAAAAAAAATCAGAAAAAATCAGAAGTTCTATTTAACAATAAAGCTACTTTTGAACATAATACTAATTTGTCAGGCTAGCAAAACACTTGTGTTTATATTAATGCTTTTACTCAAGATCTTCACGTTGTGCTGAGAAACATCAAAAAAGTAAAATCAAGAGATTCCACCAGCAGGCTGATCTGAAAGCTGTAACAATTAAACTTAAAAAAAATGAATAAAGAAATCAATGCATTAAAAGCAGGGGAACACACAATCCGAGATTCTTTCATCTAATTTGTCACACATTTACATTTCTCAGAAAGCTTTGAACAAAAATTTCCATTCAGACTGGGTCTTTTAAAGTGGAAACTATAACTGCCAAGCCTTTGCTGTTTGGTAAATTGACTGGGGACATGAGAATGGAGACTTACGCAGGTCTATTTTTAGCATACAAACAAAAGCAAAAAACTGTCTTGAAAGCAAACAGGGATAGGTAGGTAGAGAAGGAAGGAAGACAAAATTACTACAGAATTAACATGAGCATGGAATGGCTAACACTAAGTTCCTTTCATAGAAGCTGAATCTAAGATGCTGCCAGATCTCAGCTGCTAGCTACTCCTTAAGAAAAAAAAGTTACAGGTAACAGCCATTCACAACTGTCTTGGTAAATAGAAATGGAATCAAAAGTTTCTGCTACCAACAACATAATTTCATCCAGACACTATGCCTCAAGGGTTCTGTTTGTTAGTATATATATAAAAAAAGGAATCATCTACCTTCCATATGTTTTGTGAAATATTTCTAAAAAGTAAATATATATATGTGGGTAATATCACCTAGAACAAAAAAACGAAGGAACACTTCACTGTTTTGTCAGAACTGTTTCTCAATATACTAACATTTCAAAATTACTTATTTCTTTAATTAACGCAGAGCTTTCTTACTCCTTGGAATAAGAAACCAATTTACTATGGGGAAAAATTCAGACTGCTGACTGCTCAGAATTTGCCATTCATTTCAAAAACCATGGAATTTTACCATGGTTTGTTTTCAATTGCATGTTACTGTAAGAAAATATTTGAAGTTTTAGAATGAACGACTACTATATTAATTAGTATAAGCAAAAGTAATTCAAGAAGATTACAGAAATACAAATTTGTACTGCTGTAAAATCTTTTATGAGATCATGTACAGAAACATTAAGCAGTTAACCTGAAATTAATACTTAGTCTGATTTAGTCAACTGCTTCAAACTTTGACTTTAAATATTTATGCAATAAAATGCCTAGACTTAAATTAAGCCTTCCAATTCACAACTTCAAATGGAAGTCTCCATATTTTGCTATCCTATAGACTATTCAGCTAATAAAAGTTGTATAGTCTACTTTTAATCTTCAGAAGTATAGTCAAAGGGTAATATTCTTGGGGTTAAATTATGGGAAAAATTTGCTAAATATATTTGCAAAACATGATCACTACTTCTAGAAGTACACTCCAATTTTCTAGACTTCTACAATAACCTATTTCAGCTAAATGAGCATCTAATGTCAGTCATATACAACTAGTAATACAGCATCAGCGATGAAAAATGCTGCTCTTTCCCCAAACTTGGTTAGGCTTCAGTAAATCTTTTATCTGTATCAAGTCAAACTATGAATAATCATTGACATACAGCTTCAACAAGTATGCCCCTCTAAATAAGGGCAAGACATTCTTTTCTAAGATTTTGTATTCAGAGGCTATTGACCTCTTAAAGTACCATGTGATGTCTAAAAAAAGACTACATATGGGAACACAACATACACTGCTTCTCTTACAATATTGAAAAAAACCGCCTAGTTTCTTTAAGATGACTTACCAGTAATGGTATTATAATGGTATGAGGCATGAGTAAATGCCTGAAGAAGATAAGCCTTGTTCTTAAAACTGTAGTTTATTTTCTTCTCAAAGTTTTCAAAACCAGAAATAAGGTGATTTAGGGTTTTTTCAGCATCTGGGTGATCAAACATACACCTTGGTGGAATCTTCAAACAGCCATACTCCAGGTCTTTATACAGAAAGGGCTCTGAATTAGCTACAGAAGCAGAAACAGAGTTTGGTGAAAGATTTTTCTGCTCACTGTTACAATTCTCTCTGGTAGCACACAAAGTGCCTTCCCAATCAGTCTTTTTAATTACAGGGAGCACCTTCAGCCCCAACGAACACAGGAAAAGCTGAGCAGCTCTTTCACCACAGCTGGTCAGATAGCAGCCCAACAGGGCTTCCACACAGTCTGCAATGCTTTTGTCAGCAATACACTGCTCTGTATGCAAGTCATATGAGATAGACTGTTTTCCTGCATCAACACCACAGTTTTCTTCTGATGGATTCCAGAAGCCCACTACAAAATCATCCTCTTCAACAGCCTTGCTAGGATCCAGATAGCACATAGCATCCCAAGAGCTATAGTCAAAATCATCAAAATCTGATGAAAACTGAACGTTACCCAGGGATGACTTTTTGGGTGCTTTCCATTCATAGTTTGAATCAGTGGTTGAAAAGTGAGAGAGAGAAATTTTCTTCACAAAAGCCCCTGATCCCATTAACATGTTGTCAATGAATTTGATATGCTCCTGATCATACTCCAGAAAATCATCTTCAAAGTCTGTTTCTTCCTTGGGTAACCTCCACATTAGGTCTTCATCCTCTTCATCATCTTCATAATCATCAAGTTTACCATTAGCCAACAAATTCTCCTTTGTCTATGAAAGAACACAAAAAATATGGTACTGAAGAGGGAAATGAGAAACTTTTATTCCAGAACTGTCTGAATAGTAAGATTTGAGTAGTGTCTGCTAATAATAAGGCTGATTTTTAAATTAATGTTCCTAATTACATTTTCTGATCAGATATACAGTAAAAGCTCAATTATCACTAGCATTCTAAGACTAGAATAATTGTCTTGGAATACAAACCCCTTACAATTAACCTATAATAGCATATGTTCTACATATAACACATGCTGCATTTCATAGCAGTTTCTCCTTACACTTGAATGTGATGCACACACTAATTTTAAAACCACTACACATTATATACTTGCACACCAAAGTAAGCAAAAGAAAAAATTCTAAATTAAGAAATTTAGAGAAGTAAAAGAAACAGTTCTGGTGGCACCCTTCTCTCTAGCTGCTAAGTAAAGCTATTACAAATGTTTAATCAATGTAACTTTGATGATTCTTCCTACATCTTTCTATGGCAAATACTAAGGGGCTTTCGGGGTTTACTATAGTCACCATCATGATAATCTCAGTTTTGGGACACACAATGGAAAATGCATTCAATAAAACAACTATAAGAAGTTCTTTACCATAGTCCTTCAATAAGTATCACTTGAAGCAGTGAAATACATTTATCCATGCTCTCAAACACAGTTAGTTGCAAATTAATCCAGTTGGATTACTTGGCAAACTAGTAGAAAGTAAGTTTAGTGAATCAGTGTAGATGATTTTTAAATTACAGATCAAAACCAAGAGTCTAATACCAGTTCATTGGCACGAACCTAATGCTTATGTGGGTGACAGTCTTGACTGCATGTATCAGGGATTCAGTAAGTGATCTTGCCATTTATTAGATGTTAGATATAGGCCAATTTCTGGTTGTGTAAGAAGTACTAACTTTACTGTCGTTCTTAGTTTTAACAAATACGAAATCTCTCCAGTTTGTCATACATTTAATATTACCAGGACTTCAATATAGCAGGTCTAAAAATGCAAAGGCAATGAGTATTAATCGTATCCTTTAAACAAGTACATACTTGTTTAGAGTTTTGTTTTTTTTCAGGCTATACACACACTGCCTTAAGTAATTAAAAGAAAAGTTAAACTTGCCACCAATTTTCTAATACTTGCACACCTACCCACAATGGTAAAAGTAATGATGTCTCATGCTTTTTCCTGGCTCATATTGAGCAAATTGGTATGGATTGATGTAAACTATAAATTGAACGCAGCTATGCCCAGGCTATACAGTGTTGTACAATTTGCCATGGCCCCAATCCAGGAAAGCACTTAAACATACTAGCTAAACGCACCAAGTAGTCTTCCTAACATCAAAAGGACCACTCACAGGCTCAACCCAGCATCACTGATGTCAGTGGGAATTCTGCCACTGAATTTGATAGGAGCAAGATCAGATTCAAAGTGCTTTTCTGGATTGGGTCCTGAAAGTCAACACCATTTTGAATCAAGTGAAATAGCCTATATCTGCCCTCAATCTATGTATGTCATATTGTAGGTCTCAGCCACTTAGTCTTGCAAATCTGTGAACCAGATGCTACTACTGAGGACCTCTCCCTTTGGACCAAACGCACAACTCTAGAGGTGCGGTTGGGTGGCAGCTGTAAGGTGCACTAGGCAGCACTTGAAAGCACCTAAGGATCAAACAGATCACAACGTCCCTCATCAGGATGGAACAGACTTAGTTGTGTTTAGTAATGAGAGGAGAGGAAAAAAACGGCTATAGAAATTCATAGTTTAGACATTTTGCCAAAAGAATTGTTGTTGCTGTAACTACCCATCTCACATATACACAGCAAGGATTTCTGTAACTTTAATTGTTCAGAAAGAGATAGCAAAATTTTATTTCAAATAGTTATTCTGGATACTAAATTAGTCCCAACTAGAGAGCTAGTGCTGATTTTTTCTCTTGTTACACACCACCTGCCGTACCTGTCACTGAAACAATAATACACTCTCTGAATGAGACATGTGTATACGGATGATTGAAAACAGATTTCGGTGTCTGTTTTTGCAAAGATTTAACAAATGATAAATCTCATTTTTACTACAATTTCCTTCACAAGTTTCTTAACTTTTAATTTTATTTTAATTGTCAGGACAACTAGATGAACTACCCTAACATTGTCTGCACATCATTTCTTGTATAACAAAATAATAAAATTCTCTGTGATGAGAAGGAACAGTACGTTATGGAGCCAGGATGCAATTCTGATAGTTCATTTTTTTTTTTCATCATTAGACAGCATTTCAAAAATAAATCAACAATGAACCCCAGAATGAAAGAACCTTTTCTTAAAGAATACCTGATTTGATTTTGAGTAAGTTATGGCCACTTGCAAGCTGAAGATAAATACATGTAAGTGCTCTTTTCACACTTTTTGGAAATCAGCTATTTGATCAAATCAACAAAGGAAGATCCTTTCCCTTAATAAAGTTTGCTAACACAAAAAATACCAACATTTGACTAGGATGTTTTAGTAATAATTAGTCATAATGATAAGAGATTTCTAGCCCCAGTCATAAACCATCAGCCCATGGATGGAAAATGAAATTTACATCCGAGAAAGCAAAGTATCTACTTGGCACCAAAAAACCCACTTCTTAGTTGCACCACTCTGCATCTTGGTCTGAAATAGTCTATTTACAAATGAACAGTGACAAGCAAAGAGGAAGAGGCCACTGAAAAGTTATGGAGAGCTGAAAGTTTTTTTTAAAACTAATTATTAGCTCCTGTCCAAAATGCGCTACCTTATTTTTAGAAAGGTATAGCAGTAAGTCTCCTTGAAATGGTATCTTGGCACAATACAGAATCACAATTCAGGTTATTTTATTCTGCAATAAACATTTATTTGCACGGTACATCTACCTAATAGTCCTCTCATGTGCCCTCTGGTGGTTCTATAATCCAAGTGTGGTATTCAGAATTGAGAAAAGAAAAAAAGCCAGCACTGTATTTTGGATGAGAAGTAGCTCTTGGTCATAGCCATGGCATAGCTAACAGTAACCAAAACTGTACATTTTCTCAAGCCAGTTCTAATCTTCATTCTGCCTCAGCACTATGAAAAACAGCAACTCCTTTTCATATATTCTATAAAGGTGAACTCATTATTTACTAAAAGGAGACAGTCTTCTGCCTGTACATATTACAGAAAAAACAGTAGCGATAATTCTGTTTGGAAATTTCCAAGAGAAATTTCAGAAAAACTCCTGAGCGCATGCTAATTACAAGCAAGAAAGTTCTTCTCCTCTGCCTTTCTGTTAATATATACAGGCATTACTGGATGACGTTCAGTAAATTTCCTTCCTTCAGGTTCTATTCAAGATCAGTTTCCCTCTCATTTTCCGTAAGTTATACTGAAGTTTTAGAAAGGAAACAAAGATACAGATTCCTTTTTTTTCCTGAAAACATAGAAAAATATCTAGGGGGTGGGAGGAAGCAAGGATGAGAGAATATAGACACGCAGATAATTATTCCTCAACACAGTTAAATGAAGTCTTACCATTTCATCTTTCTCCCACTTATCAGTGTTGCTCTTGTCCTGGTTCACTATGTAGCCAGGAGGAAGCCAATTGACAGGGGGATCAAAGATCGATACCACCATACGACTAGGCAGTCCTTTCTTTTTTCCAAGGCGATACAAATTACAGTTGCTGACCTTCAAGAAAAACATTCTGGTAAACCTCTGGACACACATTTGTATAAAAATGGGTTAAAATGCAAAAGGAGCAAAACAATTTTACATGTCAAGCCAAATCTTGTACCATTGTGCATTTTCTCTAATTCTCAAGGGGAGTTCAGCTTTCTTAATATAGTACAACCAATTCACATCAAAGTACAGAATTTTAAAAAACTTTTTTTTTCAAGGACAAGCATATTAAGTGTGACAATTTCAGCTAAAAAAAAAAAATCTGAGATATTAAATGTTCTTTGCAAAACAAAATTATTGCTACTGTTAAAATAATAGTAAATGTAACCTGTACAAGTGTCATTAATTACCAGTATTAATAATCAACATCCAGACTACATTTGGAACCAAAAATTATTGCTATTATGGGTAGATTGACCTAAACCTTGACAGCAGAAAGTGTTAGAACAGTTCTGTATAACAAATCTTAAGTCATAATGCAGATGTTATTCTGATAGTGTCTAAAATTCTTTTGAATAGTTTAAAGGGAAAAAAGCACTTTGACATACACAAACATACTTCCTTTTCCTTTTTAACTATCAAGATCTGATAGTTTATCATTTCGAACACTTTCCATGTTTCTTTTTAAAGTCTTGAGATATGAACCTGAATATTCAATCACTTCTTTTATTTGAACAGTGCAATTTATTTAGCTCTCCTTATTTTCCAAGATTAAACTTTTCAATCATTTAATTCTCAGTTATGCATTTTATTAGAGGTAGACAACCAAATCTTAGCGTTTAATTCAAGTTATCATATTGGGGGGTTGGGGCACCCAAACAAAACAAACTTTCACATGATTGTGTATCCCAGAATTTAAAAACAGGAGCAATAGAACTAAAGACTCTGCTCACTACTGTTTACGTTTATTTTAAAATATTTCCAAAAGTTTTTGTGCAACAGCTCTTCAAGGTTATTTTTATTGTTTCATTTTCAGTGTTCCTGTAAGATCATGCTAAGAATTGTCAAGGAAAGTAACTTATTGAGGAAACAAAGGAAAGGTCAAAAAAAGGCACAACCTAAGGCTCTGTGCTGCTAACTCTCAGTCCTTCATTCAAGCACTCCTGTTAAAGATTTCCTACTGAGTACAGCTCTAGTGTTCAGTCCACCAAATATCCTCGCTAACCCAGAACTTTTAGTTCTGTTCAGTCCTGTCCTTTCTTAGGCTGGTAATCAGCTGGTTTATATTTCAAAATAAACTGTAGAAAACAGTTTCAGTCAATCACAGTTATGACAACGTTAACCCTGTAGTCCTGTAGTTTTTATTCCTAACATCCATGCTACCCAATGCACAATCAGTAAAGCTGTGGATTTAAATTAACCTGTTGCCATTTAACCTTCTAGTTAAATATGGCTTACTACAGCACACATTTTACATAGTATCATTGGAGTGTTACTACTTACTTTTTTGCTTCTCATATATGACAGCCGTCCCTCATGAGCATCAGGATAAGTGCAAAACAAGTATGTAGTGATGGCATGCTTTAAAAACGAATCACCAAGCATTTCTAGCCGCTCCAGATTAAATCCATCACTAGCATTTGAAAGAGTCAAAGCTTGAAGAATGAGACCAGGATTAGGACCAAGAGTTTTTGAGGAGTACACACTGGAAGGGTTCTTTTCAGAATCTGCTCTGTCTTTTGAAAGATTAATAGCTTTTGAAGTACTGGTGGTCACTGCCATTTTGGGGCATCCATCTGAGGTAGATCTGTTAGCATTTCCATCAAGGTATTTATTACTCAGTAGAGTACATTCATTGCTGGGCTTGGGCTGGTTCTCACTGCTGTATAAATTCTGAACGGGATATGAGGTAGTTGGTTGTACAGGTATTTCCTGCCTGCAGTAATTCAGCTGATTTCCTTGGCAAAAGTCTCTGTTAACTAAATCACAATTGCCATTGGCAAGATTTTTATTATAAGAAACACCATTAATTGCTGCAAGTTCTGCCGAGACATCAATTTGGAGTTTATTGGGTGACTCACTGAGCAATGTTCTGTAACTCACAGACATTTGGTCATGGTTTTCTGCAGAAGAGGTTCTATTAGCACCTTGATGTGCAGCATTTTCAGGGACTACAATTGTGCTGTGCTTACAGTAATTTTCATTCTCTACTGAAGAGGAGTTAGGAATAGAGATGAAGGATTTGCTGTCAATAGACTTTTTCCATCCAAAGTCCAAGTTAGGATATCTGTAAAGACACATGCTGATTTTGTTAACAAAAAATATTACCGTAAGACAAAACTACTATATGCACATACATGTTTAAAAAATGCCACATCCTTCTGAAAAGTATGGCGACTGCAGCATCTAACTTCACAATTCATGATCAAGTCTTTTTAAACTATGTTTCACTGAAAACTGACAAGAGTTAAACAAAGGGTGTCAGCTTTAAAGTCATGCGGTAATGGTTAAGTTTTCACCTTGTTTTCCAACGAAGTCCAATATCATATTGAAAAATACATATTGCAAAAATACATGCCTGAAATCTGCAGGAAGTGATTTAACCCCTACACCAGCATCAGTGGCTGTTTGAGCTCTTAGTTCCTCTGCTGTCAAAAGGCAGTGCAGGCGATAAAGTATGCTGGGGAGGCAAACTGCTTTTCTCCACAATGATGCTGGAATAGGATGTATAGCACAAAGCTCTGGAACCAGTATCTGGGGAGAGGAGGGGGGGAATGAAAAGAATTTTACCTGTAGTCATCAGATCATTGTTAAGAGAGAAGCAACTTGATTTAGGTACTCCTATTTTACCTGCTTATTCTGCAAGCTTTCCCACTTTGCCTTCCTCTTCTCAGCACTGCTTAGTGGAAGTGCTTTCCCCTTCTGATTCAAATGGCGAGGAGTCAAAAGATTAAGTCTAAAAACCATGTGAAAATACTTTAATGTAAGCACATTTGATTAATAGAACGTACTAGCTTAAACTTTCTACAGTGATGACTTATTCTTAGTATTCAACCTTAATGCATTGTGAAGTGACAGCACAGTTGTGTCTGGAAACAAAAGGACTCAAGTTACAGTTGTTAGAGCATAAGTTAAGTACACCCTCAAGAAAAAAAAAAATCAATAATTATTTTGGAAAACACAAGCCCTCAAGCTTTATCCCATAGTTGATTTAAAAAATGGCACTATTTGTCAAACTACAAACATGACTGTTACCTTGAAGATGTGTGGTCCACATCCAGCAGTGGCTGGTTGAGATTGGTCAGATCAAGATTATACTTTGTTTTATAATATTCAGCAAAAGTTTCATATTCAGGGGAAGGGAATTTACTGAGTGGAGTAAGATCAGTGTATACATCAGCTACATAGAATCGATGAGGCTGATCAAAATTTCGATACCTAAAAAAAAAAAATTTGACATATGTTATAGACTTAGGGCAAAGCTTGTGCTAATTTCTTAATGTTCTGATGTTGTCAGGTGATAAACCTGACAGGTGATAAATAGCTCACTTGAGGTTTTTGGTTGGGTTTTTTTTGTTGTAGAAACCATTTGTTTAGCTAACTCAAACACTAAATAAGAAGTGTGCTATAAAATAAGGAAGAATAAAGTCAATCTATAATTTATGGAATTCCCTCTACAGAAACATTTAAATTAAATGCAGGATTTGTATCTTCAATACCTAATACAAGATCAAGCTCTGGACAACAATCTCTAAGAGCAATGCTGCAAATGATGATTTCTTAATTCCAAGCACTTAACAATTGAACTTTGTAATTTGGCTTTTTAATGTCTAGTCTCCTATGTGCTACAATCAGTAGAAACCGAGTTCTGCTGCATACAGAGATGGTACTACCTCACACTTAAACTGGCATTTTAACCAAGTCATCCTCCAAATAAAGTTAAAATCCAAAACCCCAAATATTTAGTAAGGTAAATTCACAAGATTTCCAAGGACAATGCAGTTCTGGTAATACGGCAGAATGCTAGAAAAATGAAGTCAGAATGTTGGTAACACCTTTATTGTGGCTGTCAATGCTAATTGGATACTATGGTTATAAAGATTCACAGGAAAATAATAATTTTAAAATAATGAAATAAATATTCAATATTTAGATGTGCATATTAGCTTATTTTGTGCTTTGATCTGCTGCACCTATCATTTTAGGCTTCTATTCAAATATCTAAATAGACATCTCTAAATAAAATTAACACACTATTAAGAGAAAAATCAAGAAAACCATATTCTCAGGATGTCTGAACTTAATTGACGAACATGCTGGTTAAAGAGGCTTTCAGAAAATCCTTTTTTCTTATCTTATTCACATTCATGCCTATTCTGAAGAATTCAGTCAGAACTATACCAATACACAATTATTGTATTATGCTTCATCTGAGGAGCTTACAAAGAAGTAGAATAGAGAAGGACAAGCACATCTTTCCACCATTTGTATGTTGCCTGAAAATAAAAGTACTTGAAATTCTGAGATTTCTTAATGTATGAAATAAGGTCAAAAATTTTTTGCCTTCTCCCAAGACTGAATATTATCAGATGGCAACTAATAATTCTCATAACACTACCTACCTTTTTTTTTTTTTTTTTTTTTAAAAAAAAGGCAAAACTTAAAAAAAAAAAGGGAGGGGTAGGGAGTGGAGCGGTGGGGAGAATAGTACTAGTTTAGGCACTGTGGCCAGATATTCAGACAGGTGAAATACCATAGCTTCATGGAAGTCTGGCAACTCTGCAAATTCACACCACCTATGAGCTACTTGTATAGCATTAATTCTGATCACATGAAGTAATGCTTATACACAGTGATGGTCCATCACCACTTTTTCACCACAATATTCATCAGCACTGGCAGGATGACATTTAAAGAAAAAAAAAGTAGTCTAACACGGAGGAGACCAAAACAAAGTACTAATATTTATCTTCTAGATATATATTCTGCAACTACCATTGTTTACAATGTACTAGGTACAAGCACAAGCCAGTCAGTCCATCTTCTTTCTTCACATCATGCCAAACATGACATAGGGAATAATTTAAGTCTCCACAAAACCTACCAATTCCAGAGAACCTTTGCATATTCAGTACCTAAAATGATGTAAATTTCTCCTCTAAATACCAGGCAAGAGAAAGATTCCTTTAACTGGTCTTTTTCACTTGTTAATTTTTATGTCTCCCAACAGCATACTCCCCTTTAGCAGACCTTTTGTGTGACGAAGTAGTAACGAGAGAACAGGACTTGAGTGAGCTCAAACCTTCCAAATTAAAATTGGTTTCATTAGGCCAGTTCTTGATGAAGTTGCCATGTTATCAGAATGCTACATAAGTTTTGTGGTGAACTCTACTATTCCTAATATAAAGGTAATGAGTCTTGTGAGGCCTAAACTCTTAAATCCTACTATGTAAGATTACCTATTGACTAAAAAATATCTTTAAATTATTTAAGACACCACCAGATACCTTCAAATTAATCGCATACATTTTTACAAGCAATTCTATTGCAGATCTTAACATCCCTTTATTACAAGTAAATATTGTAAATATTTACCTAAAAAACAATTACCTATAAATACAATAGGTACCTACCTAAAGTATTTATACAGAACTCACCGTGGAATGATAACTGCATCCTGGTAATCTTCTAACTTGAAAATAAAAGGCATTTCTTTTGTATATTGTGTACTGGGAATGCCTGTACGCGCCTCAGATTTCTCAATGTCTTCCATAAACTTAAAGTCAATGTCCAAAGTGCTGGAGTCATCAACTTAAAAAGGAAAATGCAAAACTCAGTTATTCAGGGGAGAGTTTTCCAGGCTCAACTTTTCTGGGAAGATGTAAATTACAGGATTTTTTTTTCTTATTCTATACACATATCTGATTATTTCAAAAAAATTTCAAAGGAGATATATATATGATTTTAGACCTTTATGGAGTCAGCTGAAACCTACTATAAATCAACTTACATCACCAAGTTAAAATTAATTTGGAATTGTGAAGAAGTAATAAAAATATACCTGACAAATTTTCATACTACCACATACGGTATATTTTTCTACAGCTAAAATCTGAAATTTAACATAAACATAAGCTAAAGGAATTCAAAGCGAATATTTAAAAAACAAGAGCTCTGTTCTTACCAACATTAAGAGGTAGAACACAATAGGCTGAATCAGCTTCTGTGGGTTTGAACTCTAGTGCAGGTTTCTCAAGACGAAGAATATGTGAAAAAATGTACTGGTGGAGTCGCGTTATCAGCTCAAGCATTTGCAGAGACAGAGTAAAGCCAGATTTCTTAAGCTCAATAGATATTGTAACCTCTCCAGAACGAGTATACACAGGAAAGTGAGGAATCTAAATCAGAAAAAAACCAAAAGAAATCAAGAGAGAAAAACCAGACTATGATTCCTCTACAGAGTAATGGTTGTTTAGATCAGATGCTGAGGCAGTGCTTGCCTGATCCCACATCAAAATGGATCAGAATTTTGACCTTTGAGGACCTTCAACTGTAGATGAGATTTTGAAGGCTTAATTTCTTTTTTTTTTTTTAATAGTTCTCCTTGTGTTTTACAGCTCTTCTCTGTATATAAGGTCAAGTAAAAAAGAAAGTATTTTACATTAGGGAGGAAGAAATGTGAAAACCAGCAGTATTCCTGAATTTTTTTTTTTTCCCTGCAGGCAACAGAAAATATAATTTGAAAAAAAATCTTCCTCAGCTGAGTCTCATCCACAGAAAATGCCTTTCTATTAAAAATTTTCCAAAGCAAGAGGTGCCAATTTCAATTAACACAGCCTATTTTTTCTGCTGCTGCAGAGTAGGAATGCTTAGGGGACTTGCTACCATAGCTTTCATATAGATAAGGTAGCACTGCAGGCCATCTCTGTAGCTGATATGCCACGCCTATCATATCTCATACAAAAAGGGAGGAACATTTTGAATTTGCCACTGCAAAATAATAAAAAATAAAATCATAAAACAAAAGTTTGGTAAAAATAGAACAGACTGTTCCATCGCTAAAGACAGCAAATGAAGTTGTGACTGGATGGATATTATTGCTTCTTTTCAGGAGGTTACTCAATACAAACAGCATTTACGGTCACTTCCAACTCTCAATCTGGGGATGGGGAATAAGTGGAAAATGACAGGTTGTAAGGCATATAGAATAAGGAAAGAAGCTAGATTCATTACCTGAGGTATAGGTTTAGCTGTCAATATGCCAAAACATCTTGTTGTGTCCTCAGGAGGATATAGCTTTCGTCTCCTGAAGTTGAGCTCATCAGGTAGAGGAGTCGTTAACACCATTCCTATTACATACAGGTAACAGGGCTGATCAGGTTTGGGATAACTATCCCTCAAACATTCTGGAATCTAAAAACCAAAAAAAGACAGTCAACATTAACATGATAAATATCAGCGAAATTCACCTAAAGAGTATTCTTTGAACAAGGCATTGCATGTTTATTTGGAAAGGTGTTACTAAAAATGAGGAATAAAAAAATATTAATCTGGATTTAAGTAATGTTTTTTTTCTATAAGCAAAAACGTTTGGTCAGCAGCCTGGTCTGGCAGCCACGAGATCTGTCCGAACACTAGCATCAAGGGAGCACAATGCTTCCAGATCTTCCTATTTGCCAAGAGGCAACTTCCATTACATCCCTAACTTCCTCTGTATCCATCCTGTTAGAAATGCGAGTCTAACTGGAGAACACAGACATCACTTCACCATAAATACAACTGAAGTTTTGATGCCAATTTCCATATTTAGCCAGGTCTTTGGACCTTAAGAGAAGGGGAACAAAAAAAAAAAAAAGGAAAGAAAAAGAAAATCATGCACAGAGAGGAAAAAACCCCTACATCCCAGTAATTCAATTTTCATATAGGCTTGGCTGAACTTACAGCTTCATTATCACTCATTCTCTTTTCCCCAGCAGAGCTGCTTAAAAGCATCAAAAATGTTTTTTATACACTTGGGACAAACAAAAACAAAATTCAATATACTGTCCCTTTGCCCAGGCACTACACTGTAGAAGTTTTCTAATAACAATTTTAGCTTGCAGATGTGAATACTCACAAGAGCTACAGGCACTTTTAACTCTGCTGCTCCTATTTCTCATAGACCTTAAGAAACCATGCTTTATGTTTGGTAGGAGTTCATTACTTCATGGGTCTCAAAAATGATCCTCCTGTTTATCTAAAATTGAACTGCAGTAGATGTGGTCCTGGATTTTGAAGTTATACTGTAGCAAAACTATGGCCTTGGCTTAATGGAAAATTACTCATAAGTTTAATAACTATATTAAGCCCAAGAGGATCTTGTAGACCTTCAACATTTGCCAAAGCTTCTTTTCCAGATGTGAAAAGTTGGGACAAAAGCAAGGGAAAATGTTCTTGGATTCTATATTAAAAAATAACTGAGAAAGAATGATGCATCACTTGACAAATCAACTCCTCTGAATGAGAGATACCATAATTGTGCATTGTACAAGTCACACATATTCCAACAATCACTAGTGAGGTAAGAGGACTGAGAAAGGCACTTGTAACAAGAAGCACCAAGAAAAGCTGTGCAAAGGTTCAAGCTGTTTGTGAAATCTTGCAAGAAAAAGGTTCTCATCTGCTGTTCCCTCTGTAATACACTCTGTGATGCCACAGTATCCTTTCCTAAGTTTTCCTAATAACCAATTATTTAAACTACTAGTAAAATTGGGGCATGCGGAGGATGCCAAGAATGGAATTACTTAAGGGCTATCACCATAACTGAGGCTGCACGTGAACGTACAACACAGCACTATAGCCCACTACTGTAAGCTGACATTCCTACATGTGACCAAAGGCTATCGGTTTCTCCGTGAAATGTGAAGATTATCAGAAGCTACTATGCTTCTATTCTGAATGAGTTACCTTTCAAAGGACCTTAGACAGAACCTGTAACAACTGCAGGGGAAGAAAGAAGGTTCTGGAGTAGTTGCAAGACACTCTGAAAAAGCTTTTCTCCATTTTGTCTTAATTTTGAGTATTTGACATTCCCCCATAAATGCTAACTAAGTCCAGTTCCACAAACTGATGTGGCTGAAACCTGTTGTAACAGATCTACAGAAAACTTAATAAATAACGCAGAGCTGTAGTAAGATCTTATGTGACCACTTTCGCATTTTAAGTATAATTTCTAGAAGTATTTTAGAAGTAAAAAATATTAAAAGCACACTTATCTGATATTTTAAGATTTAAACCAAAAATCATTGAATTCTGTGTTCAACCAGTAAAGTCACCAAACTAAAGCAAGCATCTAAAAAAGAATAAAAATCATAATTTTCTATGTTTAATGCCTGGCTGATAACTTTGACCCCCTGGGCATCTCCTTCAGCCTTCAATTATTTGTCTAGAAAGCCAGTAATTCTTCCTTTGCTCTAGTGTATTTACAGATTTTACAGATTGTTAACGCAGGACAATTATTCCTCCCAGTTATTTCTATACTAGGCAAATACAACCAACAAGCTTTACAGAAAGAGTGCATTCTTTAAACTACAGGCATGCTTACAAAGCATATGATCCCATAAGCTCATTCATGTAATAGTGCAAGTCTCCATACAGTTAAAATTGCAAAATATTTCCACTACAAATGCAAGACTTGTTGTAAAAGACTCAAAAGATAAGATTAAGAGTTTGCAATTTTTTCTTATCAGTACATAAAGCATTGGAGATGTGGACAGCAGTGAGTGATACTAACAGCTTTAGGATAGCATTGTCGTCTTTTTGTAGAGCCTGGCCTTCCTGGAACACTGGTTTCTTCTTCATCATGTAAATCAAGCTCCTCCTCATATTTAACCGTTTCTTTACCAACTGGCATCAAATGATCATCCAGTTCACCTGAATATTATGAAGAGTACAAAAAAATACCATTATGAACAATCAAATTTTGGTTCCTTCAGAAACTACACAGTAGACGTGATTGCGCATGAAAACACCTCACCTAAGTTTTTAAAATGCACTTACTACTGCAAAGCTCCAAAAGTGTAACTTTGGAGGAAAAGCGATAAAGGTTGACTTTTTGGTAAAAATACTTATTTACAGAAAAACCTCTGAAATGTGAATTAAAAAATTGATTACATAATGAAAATGTCAAAGAAAAATAAACTCTTTTGCCCATAAAAAACAACCACTCACTGAAATGCTCATTTAAAAATCACTCATATGGAGCTATGCCAAGAAAGAGGGAACAGTTATATTTCTGTATCATTCTGAAAAGGGAATTACTACTGTTGAATGTGCACTCTCAACACTGAGTTGAGCCATCATGGTGTTATTCTTGGATACACTTATTGGTATGAATTAAGTGATCAAAAGGTTTAACTCAGACAGAATAAAAAAATACAAACCCCAGACTCACAATTTTTTTTTGCTTAAGAGATACATAAATACTTCATCAAACACCCATAACATGGAATTCTCTTTGAAACATTCCACAGTAAAGAGTACGACTAAAGACAAGAGAACTGAAGTAATCTTGCAATGTCCTATTTTTGGAACGTGACTTATGATGCAGTAGAGAATACAATAAAATTAGGGCTGTGTATTTTATATTTTAATTTGTTACAATTCAATTTAAAAAACAAGTTATTTTTTGGCTGCAAGATGCAGTCCCTGACCTACAATCAACATCTTCTAGAGAAAACGACTCTTTCCCCCTTTATTAGCTATATTCAATTTCAAAATCTGTGTCCCTTGCATTAACATTACATTTGCTGTTTAAGACAAAATACGTTAAATAACAGGATTCCCCTGGAAAATTTAACTTTAGCTTACAAGGTATAAGCTAAATTAGTAACTACATGATCATATCACAAAACAAAGCAAGAGAAAGGAAGCTATAGTAGATGGCTACACCAGAAACGCACGTATATGTAACATCCGTACCATGTTCAATTTCTCTATTATAAAATATTCTTTACTAAAAAGGTTGCTTTTCCAGTTCTTACCAATTTTGTGCAGTTTTTCACAGCAAATAAGAGCTACAACTCTCTCAGCCAGTCTTGCACAACTCATTGGAGGACCCTATAAACATTTAAATATTTAACAACTTTGGTTCATTAGCACATTACTTATTATACATGTTTAATTAGTTCGATTTAACACAAACTTATTAGGTAAGCAAAACTTTTTTAATAAATACACTGATGACAGTTTTGTGAAGGTATTTGGCTTATGTTGTTTTCCAAAAGCCAAAATTAGAAAATTACAGTAACTCAACATACTATTGATCAAAACCAATAAAGGATGTTTTTCTACATCTGATACATAAATGTGTGAAAAAAAAGGCACTAGGAAGAATATCTAAGTATTTTTGCCTTTGGAATAAACAGTTAACTGCTGGAAAACATTACAACAGAAACAAACTGTGATCCAAATACAGTTACAGAGCACAGTAACAACGTTAATAACAATGAAACAAACTCTAGAAATGGCACAGACACATCTACACCAGCATATTTACTTATTTCCATGCTTTTCTTTCCCCAAATACCTACAACAATTGAAGCTCGAAGAGGTGAGTTGATTGGCAGGTAGAGAGTAGAGTAAAACGTATGATCAGGTAGTTCTCGGGTTTTACACTTGGGAGCTAGGTGTGTAAATGGATCACTTGGTAATCTAGCGCAGTACCTAAGTTGACAAAACATTTTACAAATCATCAAAATCTGCAAATTGAAACCTAAACACATTTCAGTGGAGTCTTGCCTTACTGGAGTAAAACACTACAGAAGATCACTTCAGGCCATACTGAGCACTGCAAGGGTATATTCCTGAGTTAGTTCAACTAACTACGGAGCAGAAGGCCTCCAAAGTCCTTTACCATAAAGCTGGTCTCCAGCAAGGTGGTTCCAAGGTTATAATGATGCACAAGTCTATTCCACCTTTCCTTGACTGCACTCACCTCCCCCTCTCCCAACTTGGAGTCAAATGCAAACATGCTGATGTTAAACCATACTGGACCTCCTAACGGCCCATGAATAATACCACATATAATGAGCTGTCAGCTAGCCTTTGAACCATCTACCATTACACCCTTCGAATCTGACTACATTGCAAGGTTTTATTTACCAGGCAGTCCACTGAAATGGTCTGCATCTCAAAAATTTGACTACTAAGGTTACTATGGCAATTCCATCAAAAGCTTTACTTAAGTAAATGACATTCACTGCCTTCCCCTGTTCATAGTGTCAATCACTTCATGACACAGGAGACAAGGCTGGTCAGGTAAACTGCCCTCAGTAAAACTCTGTAGGCTGCTGCCAACCCCCTTTTCCTTTACGTGCCTGGAAACTGCTTCCGTGAAGACCTGGTCCATAATATTCCATATGACTAAGGTAAAATTGACCCGTCTGTAGCTCCCTGGATCTTCTTCCTTGCCTTTTTTGTAACTGTTGTAACATTTACCTTTTCCCACCCCTGAGGACCTCCTCTAATTGCCATGGCCTTACAAAGGTGGTATTTGGCTAGCTCCCTCTGAAGCATACCACCCTGTCTTGTGGACTGGTATTATATTCAGCTTGCTTACTGTGGTTTTGTTTTTAAACATGACAACAGATTACTATTACAAATATGAACACTAGAACTGGAAGATACTACAGTTTTAACAAGCCACTTTTATTTCTTTATTTTTAAAGCTAGCTTGTCAAAAGCAAAAATAATCTTACCACCCATTTTGAAATCGAATGTTTTCAGGGCAGCTTTTAATTAAACAGAAATCAAGATCACTACATTTATTATCAGAGCTAGAGCCTCTGTAGGGTAGAGCCAAAAAGCAAACTATCCCTTCAAACCGCTCTGACCACTTTCTTCAGGAGAGAAGATCCTGTCAGTATTCCTAAAAGGAAATGTGTACAATGCCCCAGCCTCTGCTTCCATGTTGCGAGGCAGACTAAGAAACTTTTTATTCAAAGAAAAGAACTAAGAAGTGAATATGCCTCTTACCTATTTATGTGTCCAATAGCAGTGTTAATAGTCACTCTTGGACTGTTCTCATCTGGCCTCAACACATAGGGTGGAAATACATCATCATCATCAACAATGGGTTCAGTTTCAGTTTCATTGGTATCAACAGATTTTGAGCATTTGTTTCTGAGGATCTTAACATTTCAAGAACAGAACATGGTAAGAGATTTTTCCCTTAAAAAATACTACAATACATTAAAAAAAAAACAGGCACATTCCTTTGACCTCATACCTTCTCGATTGCTTTGTACGTCTTAAGATCTTCTTCAAAACTTTTGATTTTGTCTGTATCTGCTAACATAATGTAATTGGAAATTGGTGCTCTAGCTCTTCCTTTTGACTGCACGTAGGAACGGTACTCTGTGGGCAAATCAAAACGCACCACCAAGTTGCATTTTGGTATGTCAACGCCCTCTTCTACAATACTAGTAGCAATAAGTAGGTTAGTCTCATGTGCACGAAATTTTCTAAGAACCTGCAAAAGTAATGAAGACAAATTTGACAGATTAGTCCGACATCTGTTTCCATCGTCAGATTCATAAGAAGCCAACAAGGAGAGTGGATCAGACATTCCAAAAACTTGCCTAAATATGCAGATAGAAAACTATTACAAGAAGTCTTTTCAGAAACACAGAAAGACTATCAGAACAGGCAGATTTCTAGGAATCAAATCTGGTACGTGGAATTACATGAGTCTAAGAAGCTACTACAGCCACTAGCAAATGGATAGGATCCCACCTATTTATTTACAATTTTTCAGCCGTAGTATGAAAGAAAATGCTGCTTTCAGGACAGCATCTTTTCCAACCATTTCTGAGGTTGAGATATTGTCAAGGGGTGGAGGACATTCTAGAGCTGGTACTTCTGATATTTATACTATTTACTAAACAGTATTAAGGAAAGGTTTGAGGGCTGGGGAGGGGAAGGTCAGAAGGCCAACCCAGCCAGAGGTGAGGGATAAATGCATTTGCTTTCAAAAGTAATTTACATGCTTTAAATGAGGTCAAAATCATGGGACTTTTATATAATTTAATGATTTACCAAATTCACTTTTAGCAAAGATAAATATTAAAGCCAGCTTAACCGTTGAAAATGTCAGGAACTTTGATTTTCTTTACAGTATTACTGTACTACTCCTAACCCAATGCAGAAAAATTAGATGGTCAATGATCTGGCTAAACACAAACATGATTTTACATAAAGTTTTAATTTCAGTTTGTGTAATGTGACATAGCAATGTCTCCAAACATGTTGTTTTTTTGTTTTGTTCTGTTTTTTTAAAATGAAGAACATCCCTATCTCCAATAAGTATGTTTATTTGTCAAATCAATGGTATTCCCTGAACTTCCAGTGACTGTGCCCCAGACACTGACTGTTGGTTTGGTTTGTTTTTATAGATACATACACACACACACACAAAAAAAACCACAAAACAAAAACAACAAAAAAAAAAACAAACCCAAAAAAACCACCCCAAAAAAAACCAAAAAAGAAAACAAAAGGTTCTGAAGGTATTGCTAGTTTTAATTATTTTTCTTGAAGTTACCTCTTCCTGTTTTCTGAACTCTACTTCCATCTGCTTGTTACGAGGCTGGTTCTTGCCAATGCCATGTCCAGTTATAAAATTGCTACTGATGTAAGCCAGTTCTGGATCTTGCTTGCCAGCTTCTTTTATCAACCTAAAAATATTACATGCATTTTTAGAAGTCACACAAATCAGAAAATAGAAGACAATCTTTTGTTTGCAAGATCTATATTAAAAGGAAAAATGGAAGCATGACAATTAAGCCATGCCAACACATAAACTGAGCTTAGTCTTCTCTGAAAACACTAATTCTAGTGAAAACCTCTGTAAGGATAATAAAAGACAGACTGCATATATACACAGCATGCGTGTGCATGCATCACATGCGTTTCAGACCTATCATGGTAAAACCAGCTTTTTTAAACCAATTTATTACTCTAAGGCTCCCTGTTGTTAAGGCACCCTACTCACAACTGCTTTAGTTAATCTCATTTTCTGTAAATTATGACCAGTTTTAGCAGAAAAACCTGTACCTGCTCCATCAACAAAGTATATTTCCTCAATATAAGGTGTTAATTTTTAAGTTAAAACATAGACAGTTATTCTCCTTAATATTAAAATACATATTCTGCACAGGTATACCAATGACAAAATGTTAACCTGTTTTTCTAAGGAGTGATGCTTGGTCTACTGAGTGAGATGCTTACTACTTTTGAAATTAACCCAAATTTATCTACAACTGGAGGATTTAATACAATACTTTAAAAGGAACACTGGAACAGGGAGTTGAGAATCATCCATGCTCTCAGCTTATTCCCTACATCCTTCTTTACGTTACAGAAGCAGAAAAGGCTGGCTCCTGCAGTGTTTTGATTTTACAGACAAGGTAGACCATATATTTTTATATGCTCATATAAATAATGCACTGAATGCAGAACTAGACGCTTATGGATTTAAAAGCATAATTACATTGTGCAAATTAATTATGCCCTAGCATCCTTAGTTGATCTGTTTTCAGCATGGACAGAACCTGGGATTTCTCAGCTGTAACAGGTTTTTGAGCAGCAAAGCAAATAAAAATCAAGGGATCGTATACAAAAAATTACATGCCTTGCATGTCTCACTATAGCCATCCCAGTACCACTTTGCTCACAGCACATGCATCACGTCCATTACCAGGTGCTCCCCATATCCAAAGGACAGCCTGCCTCTGTATACTTCCAACAGTAAATCAAACCTTTCCCAAATACATTTCTAGAATTTCTGCTTCACATATAAGATGGGTGCTATGCCAGTCCCCAGCTATATGCCTACCACCTACCTGCCCAGCAAGCCACTGCCAAACCAAAGCCCTTTCTACCCTTGGAAAATGACAGAAGTCTCTCCCCTGTAACTGGTCACTCTTTTAAACAAGATTTATGGGAACATAAAACACCTTCAAGACTTCCTTCCTTCGAAATCTGTTAAAAGTGGAATGGACAGGGAGTATAGGCAAGAAAATAGAAAAGTAGCACGTAGCTTGATATCCTTACGGAAACAGACTAGAAGGATCCTCCTATACTAAAATGCATGTGATTTATTAGTCCAAGGTTAAATTGACTGACTTTTCTGTATGCAGCCTAGGCTCTTGGAACAGACATACTACGAAAGTATGGGTTAATAACTGGACAAGACTCCCCAATTTTTTTGTTTGTTTGTTTCTTTTGCCACATGGCATTTCTGTCAAGTCACATAGCTTCAGTCTGAGTACCTACTAGGCATCTCAAACATTCTTACTGTATCTCACTTATTATAGAAATGGACAATTAAAACACATCTGAACAAACACTTCACTGTGCACATCTTTGGCAAGTTCTTGAGAAATACTGAATACTTCAACCTTGTGGTTAAAAAAAGTATTATTAGTGGTATAGTGGTAGGTAACAGGTGGTGTTTTTCAAATAGATATAAAAACTTCTGCTTTCAGGACCCTCTATAAGGGAGCTGAGAGGCACCACAATGAAACTGGAAGAAAACTGGGCTTTAGAAAGTGTTTTCACTACTGAAAAAGGAACTTAGAGGCACCAGAACTTGACTGTATACACCAAATAAAACAGTTAAGTGAGCCACTTCATCAGTTGTGTTAATCAAAGAATAACTTGAGTTTTTTAGGGTTTGGTTTGGGGTTGGGTTTTTTTGCTTTTTTCTAACTTGTAGTATTTACAATGTGTAGTGGCTGTTGCTAAAGGTCTCCAAAGAAAAGAGATTAGCTTTAATTACAGTTTTGGAGAAAATTCCTACCCATTTCTCCCAGGAAGTAAAACATATGCCATCAATTTTGCCCTTCCTCAGTCATCATGTACTTCATAAAGTGGGATTCTAGTCTACATACTACCATAATAAATATATTTTAAGAAAAGTTATACTTCTACTTTAACTTAGTTCTAAGAATCCATACTGGATTACTGGAAGCTTCAGTGGTTTTGATATACTAATTCCAACACTCAGGACTTCCTTATTTAGGAGACAGTCTTTCCACCTGTATATACAGCATTAGTATAGCTACAATCAGAGGCCCTTGAACTAAATCCAATCAAATGAAGTGAGCCTACAGTGAGGTTCTCCACTGAAAGCTTTCAGTCTTAATTCCAACAGCTCAGGTCTGCTGATCATCCAGATATTTTGAGATCAGGTGTGTTACATGAAGTAAAAGAGCATTCTGAGAGTCTGCTAGCTAGCTTTCAGAAGTGGATAAAAAGTTACATGTAGTTTTATTTTTTACTGCCAATAACCTGTACCAAAGGTGCCTAAAGCTTAAAGACCACAGAATTTGGTTACCTATTTGATCTAGACATCATATTCTGTCAGGTTCAACAGCAGTTAGGATATAGTATAGTGCACAAATCAGTCTACAAGAACACACAGTGGAAAAAGAGTATAATTTAAATCACATTCATAACTTAGAGAAGAAAAAATATTTCACAATTCTGTTCACTCCTACTCCCTGTAGGATAATTAAATACTTTCAGCTCAGCAAAAATTTATCAGATTCTGTTAATGTTATTTCTTCAGGAGTTATTAACAGAACACATTCACTTCACTGAATGGCTTAGTTTGCCTCATATTACACATTTATATCAACATATTTAACAATGCAAAAGAGGCAAAGAAAAAAGATGACGTTCACAAAAAAACATAGGCAAGTCTGCAAATCAACGAATATATTATGCACTCAAACTATTGACTCGGGCAAAAAGGTAACAACGAAGGGTCAGAGGTATTCAGAATGCAATAAACAAATTGCCCAGGACATTTAGCACACTCAAAGCGCCCCTATCAAAACCCCCAAAATCAAGATAGATGAAAAAATCAAATGTCATTCATGGTTTGTGGCAAAAAGCATTTAACAATTAAGTATTATATTTAACTAACATGGATCACATTCAGGAATAAGAACTGATAAGGAACTAGAGTATTGCAAAGTGTATCTTGGCAAATATTACAGGGTTCATATTTTTCTTGGTGGAAACTGTAAGAAAGTGCTTAGTGTTTGACTGAATAGGCGTTTTATAAACACTAACTGTTAAAGCAGTACTGGTAAATCTTAAGAGATATTTGTGCAAGGGAAAATTTGATTTTCTGTAGACTTGGATCATATAATAATGTAATTTAGTAAGGTAATGATAAAATTTCCAGAAGTATTAAATTCAATAGGTTAGAAAAGTTTCTAGCATCCATTGCAAATATAAATTTAAAGACTAATTAAGACAAATCAGTATACGGATATTTCACAGGTTAACTACAGTATTTTACATTTTGCCGTCTAAAGGAATCAAATTACAAACTCGGGTCCAAAACAAGCCCTTGAGTACAATTTTCAAAGACACATGCTCTTCCCATCCACCCCATATACACATAGCCTGAATAATTTTTTTTTTTTTTTTTTTGTTATTTGTTATACAGATCCAGTATGACCTCCTAAGCCAACTTTAAAATAGAGTTCTGAAAATACAAGACAATCCCCTAGATATCCATGATATTAACATCCATGTGCTGGCAGCTGAGTCTGCCTTTTTTCTTTTCCTTTTTTTTTAAATTTTTTTTTTTAAAGTAAAAAGTTTTACCTATTTAGAACAACTGCTGTGTATCTTCTTTCCACAAAAATAATTCCACATAAAATATTAGTAAAGGGAGATGGGAAATTAGTCTCTGGCTTCTCTTTCTCCTCAATTTCTTCATCCTCATCATCATCTTCAGAATCACTCCAAGATACGTAATTATCCTGATTCCTATTGTTATACCATTCAACACTTTCAAACTGCTGCCGTTCATACGGTTTATATTTGCGCAAGATTTCAAGCAGCTTTATTACTTTTGGGGTTACGAATTTCAGGTCAAGTGAGGCAGGCGAGAAGTGCTCTTCACAGAGTGCATGTATTTTCCTTAGGAAAGTGTCTGTAAACAATAAAAATTTCCTGTGCAGCTCCTCTTGTTCGTGTTTGATATACTTCTGCAGCTCTCTCACCATCATCCCAGCTACCTTATCTGCACACCAGGGTCCCAGAACAACCAACACAGCTCGACAGTCTGACAATATCTACAACAAATGAATTCAAGTATCAGTTCAAAGAGTACATTCATGAACTATTCATTTAAGACAGGAATCTTGTTTCTTACATAGCACAACCTTTGTAAGGATGATGACAATTGTTCTATTACAAAACTATTTAGAAGTCCGCTTTTGTTAGATGTTTGTTTTGTTAGATGGCCTTGGAAACTCTGGTGTTCCTAATGGAGCAGATTTCCCCCTCCCCCCTATATTACTACAACTAAACTTTGAACTTTTTCTGAATTACATTTCTGAATCTCAGAATAACAAGTTTAAAGAACATTTTACAATTTTGTTGATTCGTAATTTGAAATTTACCTTAAGACAATTATGCTAAAAAGGAGAATACTTCTTGAGGCAGCTAAACAAAGCAGAAATTATTATCCTTTATATTTAACACAGAACTAATAAAACAAATGTTTTACTGGGCATTTTTACTTTATTACTGATATTTGCAATGGTTTCAAAAGTATCTAACCAGAAAGTTGTATAGTGGCCTCAGGGTAATCTTAGCAAGTCTAGCCTCTCAAAGGAAAAATAATGAGGTGTTTGTAGGTTTGGGTGGAACTAGAAAAACAGGGATAACTATAACATACTCAGAGAGCACAGCATAGGCACTTGAGTATCATCATCATCTTATCTGATGGCAAGTTCTTTCCTCCTAAGATTCAAGTGGTCAAACAATAAACTAGGAATCCAGAAGTGGGGTACATGGATATTACTACTAAAAAGACTCAGGATTTGGATGCACTATTACAACAGAACAACTATGACAGAACTATGACAACAGTCAGGATGATACAGTTTTCACTTGCTGCTTTAATTTCTCTTCCTTCCTCTCTTCTGTGAGGAAGTAAAGAACAGACTATCAATCTCTTTACACTATCCTCCCTGAAGTTTGTTAGCTGTAAACTTAAATAAGGGCAAACTTTATCTAAATTAATTGTAACTGCACATAAGAGGCTTGATGCTCTCCAGTGCCAAGACAAAAGGCACCTCAGGCTGAAAACTGGTTTCTTTTTCTTAATGTGTGCCTCCATCTTCTTGGAGAGCTACTGGATCAGAAAACAAGCAGAAAGCTTGTGCATTAGAGGCATAGCAGTTAATCCACTCTTCTGGACTACGCAAACCCTGGGGATTGCCCCCAGTTGCCAGCACTCCTTATATTTTTTAGCCTATTACATTTTAAGTTTCGCACAAAATTAACCAGGACTTCCTTTTCCCACACAGCTGTGATAGGGTGCCTTACATATCACCCTCAGGCCCAAATAATCTTTTTCTGGACAGCGTCAGAGTACTGGGTTTCTAAGAACATTAAAAGAAACTGGAATACTTTGGGCTGAAGAAATAGGTTGTCCAATTTCCTCATGGACTATTATAGAAGTGTGACTTACTACAGAGTTCTTGTTAAACAGACACTTACATACCTACATAGTTGTACCTCAGGAGGCAATTTCAAACCACAAAGCCCATGAGAGGAAAAAAGCTGCCTGGACTCCATGTGTGACAGGTCCCTGCTCAATACACCATGCTTTCTGGACTCTACTCTGCCATCTCACGTGACAACATAGGGGCAAACACATAGAAAGTTAGGGGCTAGCTTGAAGCATTCCATTCCAGCAAGGTGTGGCACTAGTCCAATATTGTTCTAAGATAAATTGTACATCTATGGCTGGAATTTGTGCCTGAATTCTTACTTTATCATCTTTTAATACACCTGGGTACAGTTTTTCCAAATACTTCCTGAGGCATTACTTTTTCTTCTGTACTGAATTATTCAAAGGTCATGGGAGATTGCGAAGACATCAAATCCCTGACTTCGGAAATACGGACCCACAACATCAGGGTGCAGAATTACTTTACTGCCTTAAGCAAATTTGAATCTCAAACTAGATGAAGTTCTAATCAATGGTTGACATTCAAGCCCCACTCAGGAAAAGACCTGCACTGTTAATGAGTACAAAACACAAAAGTCTTTTTGCTCAAATGGTCTAGGCTATCTTACAAAGTTTCAGTAATGTAACATACACGGCAAAGAAAAACAGCAGTAAGATTTCTATTAGCCAGGTTTTTCACATAGTTTAATGTCCTTACCTGCTTAGAAATTACGGTAGAATCTCTTTCTTTTGAATGCACAGATATGTTGCAGTCATTTAGAAAAGTAAGTGCTTCATCCAACTCCTTTAATAGTCTTCCATACAACCCACTTTTGTCAGTATATGGTCCACAGTCTACAACAATCTCACACGGCTGAGAAGTATATCTTAATTGAGGGCAAAGATCAAGTTAAACACAGCTTCTGAAAGTCAGAGCTATTTCAGCCTGTTAAGGTTATACAGCCAGTAACAGCAACATGAAGTGTGTTTAAGTACATTTTTTCCCCCACCGTTAATTAATAATGATTAGTTACATAGTTAAATACTTGAAAGTAAAAAAAAACCTCCACCACACAAAATACTTCATTCTAAAATACTGTTCTAATACACTCCCTAAAAAGGAGGTATCACTCTCTTATTTTCAAATATTGGAAAATTTAAGGCAAAGCAAATTGAATTTACTTGACCACCATGTTCACTTTTGGTTTTCCAAAGTGTATTCTTTTGATACGCCAAACAAATACAATCCACATAATGTCAATTTAGGTCTATATAGAGACACACACAATTACTCTTCTTGAATGGCAGAGCTATGAATGAGAAATTCTTAAAAGCAAATGGTTCACAGAAGTTCAGAAAAATTCATTTAAAACCACACACCCACAAAACACCTGTTCCAGAACATGAAATAACCATCTTTGACTCAGTTCATACAACACAGTACAGCTGGTGCAAGAAAACATGCTACCTATTAATCATTTCACACTAATTTTCCTCTAAAACAAATAACCATTCACAGGATTCCACATTCTGTAAGAACATAGAGGAAAACACCCACTTGCTCCTGCTACTTCAATATTGTTTTTCACTGCTTCCTCAAATCTCCCTCTATCTTTCATCAGCCTCTAAACCCAGGCTACTCATTTGAAAAGGGGGGGGGGGAATCATGCAACTTTTCTGGCATTAAGTACATCTTGTACTGTAGATGTTGCAACATTTTTCTAAATTAAATAGCAACATTATGGCACACACTGAACACAAACCAGTTACTCTCCAAATGTAAGACAATGCATTTTACAAGTTCAGAAATGTGTTGTGTAAGAAATTTTTTAGGTCGGTGGTGTGGGTTTTTTTGTTGTTGTTGGGTTTTTTTGGTTTGTTTGGTTTTGGGGTGTGGCGTTTTTTTTTAGTTGTGTTGTTGGGTCTTTTTTTGTTGTTTTTTTAGGGGTTTTTTGTTCTTGTGTTTTGTTGTGATTTTTTTTTTAACAACTACAGAAAATTTCTGAATATCAAGGTCAATCAGCCTTTGACCTAACCTTCAGGAAAAGGTGTACTTCAACACTGGTTAGTTAAAAAGTAATTTAGCATTCCCTGCCCACCCCAAAGAGAAGTAATGGCATCACATGCACACAAACTTTCCTAAAATTTAAAAGAGGAAATATTTCTACTCGTTTATCCCTCTATCCAAAATGAAAATGCAGGTATCAATTTAACACCCATAACTGTACAACATACCTGTCTAAGACCACCAAATCAGTTGCAGTTTCAGCATTGCTCTTTAAAATTTTCTCCAGTTTCTGGATCTTCTCCTCCAACTCAGCAGGATCACATTTCCCGTTTAAAATAGAGGCTGTTAATCCCAAGATTCGAGGACATGATGGATAATCCTCACAGATCTGTGAAGTAAAACAGAATGAAATACCTTAGGACAGTTATCCTGCAACTCTATCATCAAGCTAGCAGACTGCAAACTTAGATGCCTAGTTGGAAACTAGTATTTCAGTAGTAGGTGTTGTCAAAGGAACCAAAGGTTGAATGAATATTTTCTGTTCTATTGACTGGACATTAAACTAGAAACTGACTAACGTTTAACTGCAATCACCTTTTTTAAAGGTAAATATTTACAATGTAAAGAATATATTTACACTATAAAGAAACAAACAGTTAGCATTGCACAGAATACCCTTGCCACATTTACAATACAACACACATATCATACCAATTCCACAAAATGTAAAAAACTAAAGTATCATCTGGAAAAAAAAAAAGACACATGCTCTGGTTAAACTTGAAGAGATTTGGAAAGACATCTATAATACAGGTTTCTCATACTGTATAAGCCAAATAACACATGGAAGAGAGTCCTACAAACATCTTTAGGAATCAGTGTTTTAAACATAATAAAAACTCATTAGTGAATCCCATTCCCAAACTCAAATATTTTATCAAAGAATTTACAGAATTTCTCAATTCCATAAATTTAGCTTCTTTTCTGTTAATGACAGGTTTTTCTTTAACCCCCACTGCAAAATACAATAAATACATGATTTTTCTGTCTCATAATATCACCGAAGTATTAATTCATTACAGTCATTTCATAGTTCCAGAATATGCTAAAATATAGTTCTACTGATATTCTTCCTTGGTAGCAAAAGCTGCCTTAAATAGTTCCCACTTCTCCAGCCCTCCCAGACTCCTCCTTCTCAACGAAGTATTTAAAACATTCATGCAACGGAAACCCACCTTCATGATTTCACGGTATGGGTGATCCTGGATTGCAAGATGGCACTCATCAAACACCAGAAGATTAATATTTGACAGGGATAAATATTCATTTCTCAAAACAGTCAAAGCAACATGACATGTCATAACCAGAACCTAGATGGAAAGGGGAAAAAAAGTGTCAGTATAAGAAAAGTGCAAGCTGTCTTGGGTCAAGGTGAAGTAGGAAAGCGTTCTGCAGGTCTTGCTAGACAGTATTAAAAAATATCGACTCCTATTCATCTACATACAACAGGTAAGGACAAAAGAAAATAAAACATTCTCTACTTGAGAAAATAATCTGTCTGGAGGCTTTCTACATATCTCCAGTCACATCCCTAGGAAAAAAAAAGCTGAATACAACAAACAGATGATATCAACACCAACCAGACTACACAGAACAAATGTCATTAAATCCATAACATGTTAAAGTCCCTTATGTGTCCCATCGTGTCTCTGTCAAGAAAGAGAATTCTTCATAAACTCATAACCATCTGCAGCTGTAACAGAAAACCAGGATGTTATCACAATGCTATTTAAATGAAAACTCATTTCTTGTACATTATGACAGATAAAAAGCTGAGTTGCTTGATAAAATTATGCACTGCTTTTACACTAATTTCGAACTCCACTAAGTACAGTAACACACTTGTCACAGTTCCTCACACATATTTCATAGGCCACTACTCAATGCTGGAGAGAAAAAACGCAGAAATTACAAATATCTGCAGTACTGCAAGATATTTCACAGAATCACTAAGGTTGGAAAGGACCTTCAAGATCATCAAGTCCAACCGTTAACCCAACGCCACCATGACCCCTAAACCATGTCCTGAAGCACCACATCCACACATTTTTCGAACACTTCCAGAGATGGGTGACTCCACCACCTCCCTGGGCAGCCTGTTCCAATGCCTGACCACTCTCTCAGGAAAGACATTTTTCCTAATATCCAATCTAAACCTCCCCTGGCACAACTTGAGGACATTCCTTTTGTCCTATCGCTAGTTACTTAGGAGAAGAGACCAACACCCACCTCACCACAACCCCCTTTCAGGTAGTTGCAGAGAGGGATGAGGTCTCCCCTCAGTCTCCTCTTCTCCAGACTGAACAATCCCAGTTCCCTCAGACGCTCCTCGTAAGACTTGTGCTCCAGACCCCTCACCAGCTTCGCTGCCCTTCTCTGGACACACTCTAGCACCTCAACATCCTTTTTGTAGTGAGGGGCCCAAAACTGAACATAGGATTCGAGGTGTGGCCTCACCAGTGCCGAGTACAGGGGCACAATCACTTCCCTACTCCTGCTGGCCACACTATTCCTGATACAGGCCAGGACGCTGTTGGCCTTCTTGGCCACCTGGGCACACTGCCGGGTCATGTTCAGCCGGCTGTCAACCAGCAGCCCCAGGTCCCTTTCCGCCAGGCTGCTCTCCAGCCACTCCTCCCCAAGCCTGTAGCGTTGCATGGGGTTGTTGTGACCCAAGTGCAGGACCCAGCACTTGGCCTTATTAAATCTCATACAGTTGGCCTCTGCCCATCGATCCAGCCTGTCCAGGTCCTTCTGTACAGCCCTCCTAACCCTCCAGCAGATCAACACTCCCACCTAAAGACTTAAGTCAGCATGGAAAAAAGATTATAACAGAATGGGTCCAAGAACTACCAAGCTAATGATTTTCCATCTACAAAGAGAACTATATAGAAATAGTGTACCCAAGAAGGCAGAAATAAAATGCACACCAAAGAGATGCGCTGCACTCCCAGACAACATTCAGTTCTATTATTTTTTTTATTACCTAATATTTAAACATCTTTTAATAGCATTTAAAGTATGCCATGCACACTCAATATTTCTTCTGCAATCATCTTTGTGAGCCACAAGTCAGGGAGACTGAAAAAAGAAAGAATTAAAAGGACAGCTTTTTAGAAACAACCAGAGAAGCCCTATGTATGTTTTGCCTCAAAACTCATATACAAGTAATTATCACTTCTGATCAAGCCTGACTGTAGACCCTGCTTATATTTAGTTTATACTTAATACATTACCTGATGCTTAGAGAATTCCTGACTCCACTTCTCTTTTGTCCACGATTCAGTTATCTCTAAACTTGAATATTCTCCCACCTTAAGATCTGAATGTGTCCTTACAGCTGACACTTGTTGAGCAACTTGATTTGCTTAAAAAAAAAATACAAAAAATTTCAATCACAAAGGTCTTTTCACAAATTGATTTTCAAGATGTGTGCCATATTACCTAGCACCATGTTTCATAGCATAATCTTTAGCTTAGACTAATGTTAAACCAGGTGTACATGGCAACTGCCTCCATGTAAACAGAACTGCAGCAAAGGAAACAGATTGAATTTGAACTGCAATTTAGTTACCAATGTCTTAATTTTAAACCAGGAAACAGAAGATGTAGAGATAAACAGGTTAAATGAGTTATAAGCGGAAGATAAAAGGTACCACATTCTCTAATGAGTTTAGCATCCTTGCTGTTGAAGACCTTATACAAAAGTTCTTCTCAACTTTGCTTTCACACACCTTCTATTAAGGAATATTCCATGGAAATATTAGCAGCATATTTAGGAACCTAGTATACTTTTCCTCTTACCTGAGTTGACCAAGAACACAGTTCTTTTTCCATTTTTGTTGAAGTCTCCCCTGATCTGATAGGACAGCTCTTTAGTGAGTAGTACTGCAATAAAAGTCTTCCCTGAGCCAGTGTTTAAGCAGACTATTGTATTATGATCCAAAGCTGCTTCAAGCAGTTCAACCTAGGTTTAAAAAGTAATAATGTCCTTACTTGCAGCAATGCAGTGAAAAAGATGACAAAAAAACCCCAAACATAAGTGGTAAATAAATTCCAGACAAGTCAGTATCTCTAGGGATCTTTCCAGTGCCATAGAATACACCTCTTTTATAAACAACTTATTGTCACAGTCTTTCAAGAAATATTAATGGTTATATATAGTCTATCTTCTAAATCTAAAATCCTTTATTATCACCATTTGATGCTAGGTTAAGTAACTTTCTAAATATATCTTTTTAATAGATGATTCTGTTACTGGATACATTGTGTGAAGAAAGAAGCTAGAGCTTTTAAATCTAACCATATATATCATTCAGCCAAATATGCAAGTATATTAGCTCAAGGTGATCTAAGCCTCTCAGTAACATTAACCAATTACTAGCTTTCAGGCACCTCTGCAGTGCAAAGAGAATTGAAGTTCTAGAACTCAGAAATAGGTTTCCTTAACGAAATGAAAATCAGCGTGCCCTGGTGGGGTTTCTGACATTACTGAGCTGCTTTGATCAGTATGTGAACAAACAAACAAACAAACCCACCCCCCCCCAAAAAAAAACCCACACAAAAAAACCACAAAAAAACAACCCCAAAAACCAAACCAAAACAAAAAACAAAAAAAAAAAAATCAAGATTCACCAAGTAGAAGACAAAAGGTCAGAGGGGGAAGGAGACATGATTCTATGCATACAATCGAGATGCACAGTTTACCCTATTTGTCCCTAACAGCAGTTTGCAGAGAGCAGCAAGAAAATACTCAGTTTAAAAGTTGTTCTGCTTGTTAGAGCAAACTGAAGGAAAGAGAGTATTAGAAATGTAGAACACAGTCAAGCTAAAGAAAGAGGCACAATTAACTCTCAACAGGTGGAGCTGTGAGAGGGACACGCCTAGACTGTGTACAGCACTGCACATTCTCCAGCTACTCTGGTGGTTCTTCTATTAAGTTAATGGATTTAACTGTACTTTTTTTCTGACATTACTGTATTAGTATTATCACTAGTACCTGATATTTCCTTGGCGTGTAAATATTATCATGAATTGCTTCTTGTTGCCATGGTAGTCCAAAAAATGGACCCATTGGGGAGGAAGCAGGGGTCATGAGCTGCAGTCCCGCCATGCTGAGGGATTGCAAAGCAGGGCTTTTCATTCATTCATCCAGTGTTTCTTTCATTGCTTTTTTGTTCCAGCACAGCCTACTATGAGAAGAAAAAGAAACAGTATTAGATACAGTCACAATATACAGCAAGAAGAGAAAATTTATTCTAAGAAAAGGACATAACTTGATTTTACTACCGGTAAGTGCTAAATCGCATACCATTTTCAGCAGAAAATGTTAATTTTAAATTTACAGGCACTATTCCTCTTCGAAGTGCCAAAGAAATCCAAAAGGAGCTGTACTTTACAGGGCAAAGTTCACTCTAGGCATTTGGATTTACACACATACATTTCAGGATAAAGTTCCATTTATGTTCTAATCCCATTTAAAATATATTTAAGAACAAATTTTTTAAAAATAGAACTGTTCTATCTTTACTTCAAGAAAGAAAAAGATTGATTTTTCTAGAGCATGGGCATAAATATCACATTTTCTGTTTTTCTTCTCAACCAGAAAGTCCCTATGACCAATTAAGGCTTCATACACACACATGCAACAGGACCTTTATTCTAATAATCAGCTGGAACAGAAAAGGAACTACACAAGAACTTCCGTATTTTCAAACCAACAGATTCTGATACGGTTATCTGTTTAAGGAACTGGCAGAAATAGTGTAAAAAAATTGCTGATGACTCTGTTAAGGACTAGTGGAGAAAGGGACCCATATCAGGTTAACCACCAATTTCCAGAAAGATATTCTAACTGATGAACAAACCATTCACAACTTTATGATAATTATGCACTGAAAAACACTTTCCTCCTAAGGCTATGGAGTCCTCATCACCAGGAGTTTTTAAAAATGTCTGCTATCTGTCAGGAATGATCAAGGTTAAAAAAAAAAAAAAAAAAAAAATCAATTCTACCTTGCCCAAGGAAACTGATTTAAGGCCTGACGATACAGAAAAATATTGCTGAAGTTTAATATAAAAATAATGCATCAGTTCTAAGACATTTTGATACATACCCAATTCAACAAAACAGTATTTCCAAAAGTTAATTTTCCTCAAAATTACTAGATGCTCTATATTTATGTTAGCATCAATCTCAAATTGATAAATGCATAAAATGGACAATGCTTTCAAATTTAATCATTCATTAGAAATACATGAGGAAAGTTAATTATGATCCTGCTGCATAGAAATGTCCTTGCTTTTCTATATAAACAGGAGAGTTGGCTGTTTTGCAAATGTGCAGTAAGGAAGAAGAAAAATATGATATGGTATCTAATAGAAAATACTAACCACTAATATTTATGAGAAATACCTGCTTTGAGATATTACAAATAAAGCAGTACAATTTAAAAAAAGTATTCATTTATTTTTGTACCAAGATGAAATTTGATGTTATTTAACATAGTCTTCAACTAATAAAACACTGCAGCTCTTTGTTGCATCTTCACATTTCCAAGTTAAATATTATAATTTGAGCCATGTCTAAACACTGATTTATATTCTAACTTAACTAATATTAAATAACCACAGGAAGCTCTGACAAAAGAAAACTATATTGTAAAATACAGATAAGGCAATACATTGAATTACATAATCACTCCTCTTGTCGATTCATGCAGAAGTAATGGCACTTTACAGAAAGTAGTCACAGCAAAGTTTTGTCTCAGGTCTTTTCCAAAGGGACAGAAGTCGTCTTGAAGGACAGTGTTGTTTAGTTGAAGTAATATTGTTCTGTTCCATTATAAAGAATTCTTTCTCTTTTGAAGCCAAACATTCAGTACTAAATGCTACTTAGTGAAAGAAGGTAACCATAACTTCTTGGTCTTTGTCTCAGCAATCAATGTACCTCCCCTTCTATCAAAAATAGTATTTCTTTACTAAGAGAACTGTGTTGATATTGCTGGAATCTTGTCTGATATTTAAATTTGCACTTCACAGAAACTACCAGGGTGAACACTCCAGAAAGAAAAGATGTATTCAAATAAAAAAAGAAATGAATGTACATTTGTACATTTTCACAGGTCATACTAAACAATGCTCTTGACATTTTATCTCATCTTTTTTTTCCCCAGCTACTTTTGAATGAATCTCCGAACTCATACAAACGTTCTCATTTACTTTTTCAGTCTTGTAACCTAAGCTACTACCTCAGCCCGAGTCTTTCAGATTATGTGAACAGATAAAATGGATCAATATGATATTGCTTTATTTATGTGCAAATAGAAAATAACCTACACAGATCATAAAAATCAGTAATGCATCATTTCAGTTATAATAAAAAAAGACTCCTATAGGTTTTAAAATTGTTTTTATACATTTCAAACAACGCATACAAGCACATGCAGGTTCTGTTCTAACAATTCAACTAATAACTTTACAGAGTGTTCAAATCTGGCACAACTAGAAGATGTTTTCTTTCAATCTCTTTGGAACTAGCGGCTTCATGGCTGTTCCTCCACTGGGACTCTGCACCTCTGTGTGACAGGAGACAACCAGCAGGAAAGATATGTATGTGCTAAACAGTTGCATGTAGCAGAGATGATCATACTTGACACTCTGATCTACTAAGCATTTGCACATCAAATGTACTGATGTTAATCAGTATGTGACTAATCAAGTTAAATCAGTCACATGGCAAGGACAGTAGCATCATACACAATATTCCCCAGCCACTGGTAGAAAACATCTGGAAACTCTGGGCACTGCTAAAGTAAGTGAAGCTTTTCCATGAACTGACAGCTTAGGTGAATAAGAGCAGGGGAGAACGGAGAACACATAGGGAAAGGTGTATCGTCCCTGTCTTCTCCAAGCTTATAGATGCAGCTCTCTTAATATACTTAGTTGCTCTTTTTATATTACAATGGGTATCATGCTAGCTGGTAACACACACAAAAAATGGTTTGAAGAACACAAAAAGTCTTTATCATGACAACAATATTTTGTTGAAATAGTCTCAGGCATGTTGTTCCACTTACATATAGCAACTCACATGGAAACACAATTAGCGTTTGCTTTGTTTAAAATGAGACCTGGTCACAGCCATCATAGTTACTCAAGGCTAGAAGGGACCAGGAAAAAAAAAACCCAAATCTTTTGCATAATAAAAGCTAAAGCAGATTCCCCAATCATTCTTGTATCTAACCCCTGCCACTTCAGTTTTATAAATCACTTTAGATCAGCAGTGCCTCCTCTTTGTTTACTATTCCACCTATTTTTTGTTTCTTTTCCAAATCATAAATATAACTGTGGGAACATACAAAATAGCTTTATCACATCACCAGGAGGGAATTAAGGAAAGAAAACCAACCTTATCTGAGAAGGCTGCTAGTAACAAATAAGCATAGGTTCTAATACTCACAAATATGCCTATCTCCTTTGCTACACACTTTGTGACAGTGATACTAGGTTAGCTACGCCACTGCAAGAAGCAAAGGGATTTATACTTACCTATAGTTCCAGCTTGAACTGGAGGAGCTGTGAAACAACATATCCTCCAAACTACAATTTCAGTTTCTGTGTATCTTCATGAAAGACCTGCCCTAAAGTACACTCATCTCACATCAAGACCAAAAAGCATTCTCAAAAAAACCTCTGAAGTGCAAAGGAAGAAGTACATGCACATCTGTAACTTTAAAAGTAAGCACAAGCAAACTAACAGTGGCAGGCAATGCTGACCATACCATTGTTATCCTGCAATCTGACACAAGGAGGAAAAAAAAGGGAGATTTAGCTATGAGAAACTATATGACTAATTAGCAAAGTAAGAGTTAAGCTCACATGAGGCAGACCACACTTCAGATAGTTTAAATTCCCTCCCACTGTATAGCAACTCAGGTAAAAACTTCTCCACCCTAAACCATCGATGCTACTTCCTGCTGTGCTAAATTTTCCTAGTCCTGGCCTTCATTTGTTTTATTTGCATTGGAAGTATATAAGATCTGACAAGATCAATGTCAATGTTGTTATGGGAGTAAGCCAGAATAATGAAGTAATTGTATCATTCTAAGTCTCTAGTTCAATAGCAAGGAAAAATATCAAGTTCCTCAATAAAAGAAAAGCAGTACAGGACCATCTAGAAATAAAAAGGAAAAAACCCACATCTACTGGAAGAACAGGTTTTAAATTGAAAACATTTGAGATGTAAGTACATGTGTTCAGAATTTGTGGACAGAAGTCAACTGAACCTAGCTAACTGAAACTAGTGAACAGGGAAGCAGAAAAAAACCCTAAACTAGTGCTGTTTAGCCACTGTAACAATACCTGCTAAGATGTTCCATCTTTATCCACTGCGTTATTTTGAAAATTGACAGAACAAGAAACTATAAGAACTTGATAAAGCCAAATTTGGAGGGACAAACACAGGAAACAAGTCCTGCTTCCGTGGCTTTATAGTAGGTTACAAAAGCTGGACAAAGCAGCATAGTGCCCAAGCTTATCTGTTTTACTAAAATAATACTGAAAGGTCCAGTTTTACGGCCATTTTGATGTTTTAAGAGCAAAATCCACAACTTCATGTCTTCAGTGCACATTTATGTGAACAGTGAACTGCAGAGCTAAAAACAAGGGCTTGTTCTACCATTTAAAGAACTTAATTTCAGAAGCGCACAAGGTTGGGAATGAACAGCCAGCAACATTTAATAGCAGTTTCTTCCAATCTACAGTAATTCTAAAACTGTGGTGCAGATTTTTCTGTCATGGGATTATATCCAAGTTGAAGCAGTCCCTTGATGCACAAAAAAATTTCAAGGAAACACTAAGGAATACAAGCCAAGTAGGGCACTCTCCTGGAATAAGACTTCCTGGATCTAGTCCTGCTCCAAGGGCTGTTTAAAACATTTATGGAATGACACTCTGAAGTAAACAGAGAAGAGACTAGAGCCCTGGGGACACATCTTTGAAGTTTTTACCGCCATTTGCATATATAATATGTGTTACATTCATAGCAAGTTAATGCAAAACTACAACTATCTCCTATTAACAACAGAAGTTTATTATTGCCATACGCAATGTATTTTATCTACTTTCTTCACTAACGTTGATTTGTAAATTTGTACCCAGTACAGTCCTTGTGATACAAAAGTTATTTTTAATGCTGTAGGTTTTCATCTTTGTCCAGGAATGTCTACTTTATTCTCTAAAACACGCTCAGCATCAGAAAAAAAAAAAAAAAAGAGTTAGCCTCAAGGGGTGGGGAAAAAAAAACCCACTTACTCTAAAGTAAATAAACCACATTCTATACAAAAAATACTAACAGAATCTTGCTGCTTGAATATTCTCTTACAGGAACACCTAAAGAGTCTGAATATTGCATTCTTTATAGTAAGTTTTATGTCTGAATCCTACATGAAACATTAATTTGCTGAAAGATCTAACACAGAAAATTCTTACTTCGATAATGGAGGAACAAGTAAAAAGAAAAACGTAAAATACTACAAATACAAAATACAGAGTAGAAAATGAATGTAAATGTTAATTTACAAAATATTCACTGAGGATGTTCTGTATGAACTACTGCAGAAGTCTGCAGTAAAGTGACTTCTACTTTCACTATACGAAATCAGTGGCAAGAATTGTTTTTGCCCAAGTAAAGGTCAACATACAAGATTCCTACATCATCTGGTTTCTAAAACTGCTTTTAAGAGTATACTTTTTAAAAGGATGTGACTTTTTCTGCGATAGTCCAAAAGCATTACAAGAGCGTATTTTGTGAATATTACTCCTGTAACTTCAGTTTTCTTAGAGAACTTAAAAAAAACCACACACAGAGTTCTTATTTGTACAAGAAAATGTACAAAAAAAAAAAGCCCACAACTCAAACATCTCAGAAACACGTAAAAAAGTTTCATTTTCATGGGAAAATGTTCCCCCCGCCTTCATCTAGTAGATGGTAGGATATTTTGAAAATTAACCATTGAGATTTCTGCTCCTAACTCAAAACTTGAAGTTTCTAAGTGACATCATTCAGCCCAGAAGGTCTAAAGTAAGGAAATACTGTCAAACAATATTATTCTGTAAGATTAATCAGAAATTTCCTTTATATTATGCTATCTTTAACATACAACCCAGCTGCACAAGACACCCCTTATTTGTTATCTTTCAAAGACCTTCACCACATATATCAACTAACAGCAGTGTTTGTATTTGGTCTTACAATACTCTTTAAGGGACAAAACCCCAAAAACCCCCATATTTCAGATCTGTTCCCTTTCAAGGGAAAACAGAATGCATAAATGCTTACAAAGATCGAATGTAAGCATTCCTGTAAGAACCAGCTTCCCTGGTTTCCCTTGCACAATCATCAATACTCATTGTGAATGTTCATCTTCACCTAGAAGATTTCTATTTGTTCTATTTTTCTGACACAGAACCAGTCTAACAGCACAAGGAGAACACTGGTCTCTAATAGCCCACAGAGACATCCCAAAGCAGCAAAGGCTGCTTTAGGCCTTATTAAATGAAGATTACACCGAGGCTCTACATTTGAATGAGCTGCTTCTGAAGCATTTCTACAAGCAATGCAGTATAGTTAACAGCTAGAATTCCTGGCAGACTCCTCCTAAATGTCTCTATGTAGGAGATAAATGAAGTATAACATGACACTTAGCAGACTCAGAAAAACACACAACCCCTTGAGTCCTTCACCTAATGTTCAGTCACCAGTATGACCAAACCTGGATTTGAGGCAAAAGCCTAATAAACGCTTTCTATTGCAATTAGTCTAGCTCTAATCAACAGAACCAGAAAGACACAGTTCACACCAACAAAGTTATGCTGCTCTGTATTGCTAATGGTCTCTAAAGAAAAAGGATTATACCACCATATATCAGCATAACATACATGGCCTGTGGGGCATTTACCAGTACAGAAATAAAACATGAAAACAAAAATCAGTTTCCTAGCATATCTATAGTGACACCAGTACATGAGGCATTCAGAATAAAAGTTCAGAAAGGGGATGTTTTGCCCTTAAATACAGCCATGCAACCAGCTTCTGGAACAAACTATTTCATTTTTTAAAATGATCTGTATACAGCCCTGTGCAAGTCCTAACTGTGTAGTTGTTTCATCAGTGGTGCAGAACTGGTGCTATGCAGATTCCTCTTCTTTTACCTCCTTAACACAGAGGACAAAAGATAAAACATGAAGTGCATTGCATCTTAGCTGCCATACAAGGTGAGGACCAGTGAAACTAGATACATCCATCTCCCCTATGTTATCAACCTACATGTCCATTTTCCTTCTACATAGCTTTAATAGGATAGCCTCTTTGCCTGTTTTTGCTGAACTCATAATTCAGACTGAAGCATACTATTGAAACTAAGGCCTTAACAATTTACCTGTCATTTACTTTCCTCACCATTTACTCTGATTCTCCTATCTGGAAAAGCATATAAATTCAATTCTAATTCCAACCCTTTGTATCCCCCCTCTTCTGACTTCTGTTCTTTTTAAATTCAATGTATTTCACCAACACAACCACATTTCAAAATAGTATCAACAAGAAATATTTAAACACACACCTCCACCCTTTTTTAAAAAAATGAATATATTTCTAATCATATTCAGCTTCGTAAGAATTATCAGATCATCTGTTTCATGACAAGCATCTTTTTATCTATGCCTTTGCTGCATGTAACCATCTACGGACAAAATAAAGCAGCTACTTTCAATATTTTTTCCAAAGAAATTCACGATAAATTTCTGTAACATCACACACAGACGTTACTTTAAGGTCCTGAAGAAGCTTTAAATATAAAAATAGGAGAATACAGTGAAGTGATACATAAAAACCTGCTTCTCCCATACTACAAAGCATATTCTTACCGTTTTAATTTCCGCAGCCTCTGTGTTTATGCTTCCCGAACTGCATTTTGACATCATGATATCAGCTTGTAGATTAATCACATAATTTGCAAGCTTCGGCTCTTAAAAACAACAACAACAAAGCCTATGAACTATAAAAATGGTGTGAAAAGGGAACTACAATAGCAGGATTAATTGTGACAATTCATTTCCTTATGAGCATTTCAATGTGTCAATCCTACACTGTAACTTGCTGACAGAAAATGAACTACTTAAGTGCACCCTGAACATGAATTACTTCATTTAGTATTAGAAATTGTATTTCTTAAAAGTGATTTAAAAGCTAATTTTTGGTAGTTTAAGTGTGCGAGAAAAAACATACTTCCCTAATCCTATTTACAGGTCACTATAATTAATATTAATAACTGGTTCATGTGAGAAATACAGTAAAATTATGTAGAACATACTACTACTATGTTCTGTATAAATGTACTGCTTTTTCCATGCATGTGTATTTTCATTTCACTTGAGTTAAACATTAAAATCTTAACTTAAACTTCTTTAAAGTATTTCAATTTGAAGCTGCAATTAACAGAGTAAATTCATGAAAAAGCAACAAGCGTTTCTAAGTACATTAACACGTGTTTTTTTTTAATAAAAATAAAAATACTGTGCGATTAAGATGGTGATTTGCATAAAAATACCTTTGGCTATACAAGTAAAATTAGGAAAAACATAATAAAGAATTTCATAGATATATAAGCCTTTCTATAAAACTACAACTTAAACCAAAAATACTGTATCTAAGCATATCTACAATGTTCTCAAAGCTCTAAAATAAAAAATTTACATGATATATTCACCTAAAGTATGAGTTTTCCCAGACCTAAAAAGAGAGATTCTGAAGTCAAATTTTTTTAAATCAATACTGAAAACTTAAATGCAAAATGGATCTTGATGAAAATTTCTACTCCAATCAGTTCCATAAAGTTAACAAGGACACTCCCAAGATTACTTCAGTATGTTCATTTTTACCTCAAATGCTGATGCTGAGCTTTTCCAGAGTCTCCAAGCCTGTAATTTTGTTTCACCCTAGGTAACCTAAAAGGCAATATAAAGAGAGCATTTTAACATGAACTGCCATAAAAATCAATTGTGCCATGTGGTAGTCTGCTTTCTTGCATTTTAATATTTAGCTCTGTAGCAACAGCACATGGTCCTTCAAAATCTAATTATCATATGTCCTTTTTTGGCTAGGGATACAGACAGTGTCTGAAAGATCAGCCTCAGAGTGCTCAGAAGGTATTTGCATATTTTGTTTTATATGCTAAAGTAATTGCTAGCTAAGTCCAGCTAGATTTAGTTTTCCTCTCCGTGCTTCCTCCACAGGTTTCACCTAGTATACAAATGAAATCTTAGAGAAACTTATCATTCAACACATTTTTTTTAAAAGAGTCCTAAAGAACGTATTTGTTTTGAGAAAACAAAATTTTAATAGTTATTGTTTTATCTTACAATAAGATACAGGAATATATAGGGAATACAGCACAGAAAATCTGATGAATACTCCGTGTGTACAAAACAGACCTACAAAAATTCTATTCCCAGGGCTACTTTTTAAATTTGTGTTTGCACCATACACACATCCTTCTTTTCTGCAAATACAGCAAATTGGTGCTAAGAAGCAGTGACTAGACCTTAAGTTTATTACAACATGTCCCTGTTATGCCTAGGTTATTCATTTATTCACTGCCTCTAAAACATGAGCCAGAATACATATTCCACTGAACCAGAAAATAGCCTAAAAAGAGAAAACTGTCACAGCTCTGGTAAAAATACAGAAATATGCTGCACTTCACATTTGCAAACAAACAGAAAGCATTTAGTTAGCCCACCACATAAAAAACGTGAACAGAAAAAAAAAGTTTGAACTCTATCAGTAAAGCTAATGCCATATATGGCTTCATGTAGCAAATTTACTTTATTCCCTAACCGTAGATGGCAAACAAAAAGCATACAGATCAGCAGGTAAGATCTGGGAGAACCAAAAAAAGTATGTAATTCTCCACCAACCCCAACAATTTCCTTTGGCACATCAAAGCCATAAACCAGAAGATTGCAGCTTTAATCGATTGGCAGACATGAATTACAGTAGGCCCTTTTAATGCCGAAGCCAACATAAAACCAGACAGGCCACATTCCTGAGATGCAGTCAAGTTCTAGTACAAAACAGCGAGCTTATATCACATTAGCATCTAAATGGTGTTGGTGCACCCACTTCGACAAAAGCCTGTTGCGGTAGACGGTCAATCCTTCCCTTCCCGTCTGCAGGCCAAAGGCATCTGCAGCTTGCCAATGAGCCCAGCCAAACAATGGACACAGCTCGGGGCTACCACAGCAAATAACATAACCAACCACTCCGGCATTTATTAACTGGAACACTGGAGTCCAATGTGACAAGGGTTTTTTTAACCACATTAAAAAAAATAATATATGTATCTCATTTTACTCTGCAGTGACCGCGGATCTTGTTAAAAGAAAACAAAAGGGACAAAAAGGAAAAAGTAATTACATTGACATTGCTAAAAATTAGACTTCTAGAATGTCTTCTATTGAACAGTAATGCCACCATTTTTTAAAAAAGTTTCTATTAAAAGCTCAACATTCACATATTTCATATAAAGGTAGAAGGTGAGAGTTCAGAGATAACTAGCCATTTGGAGTGTCTAACTACACACACCAGAAACACATCAAATACTCAAAGAATAAAGCAGCAACATGAAAAAAAAAAAAAAATCAGTTCCTTTAAAGAGAATAGCATCCAAGTGATGCACCAGTTACTTCTGCCAATCTCCAGTACTCCAGCAATCTGCAAGCAACCACTAGTTTCTTCTGCAAATCTCAGCCAAGACCTTCAAGTATCTCTGCTGTTTGCTACTTAAACATTTGCTAATACAAAAACAAAGTATCTAAATATATCAAAGAGTATACAGAAGAATATATCAACCAGTTTTATTTTTATTTCCTGGTTTTGTTATTCATTATTTGAAAATAATCATATTAATGTGTTACCTAATTGTTGCTATTAAAAAAGATTGTCAGAAAAAGGACAGAAATTTTAGAAGACCTAAAAAAAAAAAAAAGTAGTAAACCACACTACAGGCAACAGGCTGAATCTGAAACATAGACTATCAGCATTCTTGCACTTCAACACCTTCTACAGTTTGAAATTAAACAACTATTCCCTCCATCCCAATAGTGCTGGTAATATTTAATTAAACCATTATTCAAAATGTTAACAACTTGAAAATGAAGTTCTTATCTTGCACAAAGATCTATGCAGTAGGACTCCTAAGCTCACAATGGAGCTATGATGACATGAATTATCTTCTGCAAATACAAATGAATTCCAGCATGAATCAAAGTTCTGCAGCATCAGAACAGGCAAGGTAAAAACTAGCATTATGATTGGGAGGAAAAAGTTCATCTGGGCTGGCATCCTGTCTCTCTATAATTACAGCTGGTCGAAGATGCTGGGAGCAGGGAAGAGGCGATTATAGAACAGGACTGATCCTTCTCTTCCATGTGTTGTTCCAATCACCTGATATTTAAAATATTTTTCTTTGCTTTATTACAGTACAAAGTTAGTCAGAAACCACGGTACAAACTCCCTACTGCCTCAGATTAACTCCAAAACAAAACACTCAGCATCCCAGGAACTAATACTTCCCCGTGGAAGTCAGGAAAAAAAATTACACTCAGGACACATATCTCTAAATAAAATAAAATAAAGAACATCTGTGGTATATGAACACTCTGAAACACATTTAATAGATTTAACAGCAATTACAATTAAATTATTCCACTTAATGTTTAATACAATTTTAAGTTGCTGCTTGAAAACTAATGCACAGAAAAATCACAGCTAAGTTTATAAAAACTAATTTACATAGGTAACTATACTATTATTGTATCAATATCACAAGATGGGATAACTGACCATATCTGTGAATTTATTTATCCTTTGGTCCTTTACTTGGTTACCAAATTATTTACTTGTGATTATTTAGTTTATTTAAAGCCTTTCAGGCACCTATGTGTTTCGATGGAAAGGCAATTAAGCAGACATTATCAGTGATTTCTCTCTTCCCCAATCTGGGCGCAAGCTGTGAGACAAATACAGTTCCAAAGCACCAATTATTCTTGCTTATGATAAGTAAAAGCAGGAGCTGCCCCCTGAATATAACCCCATGTGGGGATTTCAATCCCATTATTTGCATAAACATAAATCCTTTCTCTCCATGCGGTAAAAAGTCAAGCTCCCCAAAACATGTGTTTGACAGTTTTCTGTTACCTCTGTACCAAATATCTAAAATTACTAAGAGTCCTACGTTACAAATGGCTTTCTCTGAAGTCATTAACTGGACGATAAAAGACCTGCAGATATTTGGGGTTTAAGTCACCTTCTAGAATTTCCACAAAGTCTAGAACGAGAGTTCAAATCTCCTATAGTTGGTCATAATATCCGTTTATGTATCACCCAAGAATCAATGTACAAACAGTTGTCTTATTTCCAAAAAAGAATGTATTTATTATGACAGTGTATGAAACTAACTCATCCTAATGCAACCTTAAAATACAGAAGTATTATGTAGTGGTTAGCACATTAGTTACTCCAACTACATTTTGGGCTTTGTAGTTTTTAATCTGTCTTCCTAAAAAAGAAAGGCTTCTCAGTTACACTACATGTTTGCACATGTTCTTTCCCTGCAAATTGCTTGCGGGCAAACTACTGGAATTTTCTCGTATGTAAAGCTGGGATGAAGTTAATATTAAATTCATAGAAATATGTAGTATAAAGACACTATTTTTGCTCCCAAATTCAGAAGACATTCAAAGCTGCTGCAATGCCAGAAAATCTAATCTCCAGAGAAGTAACAGCAGAGGAAAAAAAAACCCAAACCACAATTCATTGATTTTTTTCATTTTATTGAAGAAGAAAAATGAATTATTGGTAAGACATTTCCACATGCCCACCAATTTTTTCTCAGAATAACTAAGAATGTCTAAAGGTGTAGATGAAAATGCTCTGTGGAATACAGCAATAGCTCTCATACAAGATGTGAGCAACAGAATTTCCCATGTTACAATTGCAAGGAAAGAATACATGTGCCTGATTGTAAAATGATCTGAATTAATTCCAAAATGGAAAAGGTCATTAGAAAATGAAATTGTTAGTATCTTAACCTACATATCTGGCTAACCAACTTACTGCAAAGAGCAGCCAGAAAAGGCTTTTATATTGAGCCTTTTCTTGTTTTAAGAGCTGAGAATCAACCAGGCCAGCGTTAATTATCTGTGTGATAATAATCTCATTATTAAACAAGTACAGTGCATTCTGCAGCGTTAATGGACCAATGCTAAAAAAAAACGCGCGTACCATGAAGTGCTTTACATAGATTCCAAGTATTTTCTATTTATAAAAATTAAAATAACCTTTAACTTACCAATAGTAATTAATGTTTCCTATTTGAGTCAAACTAAAAAGAACTGCAATCTTTAAGGCAGAGGCTTTTATATGCCACTTAAGTGTTAGGCACAGAAACAGGTACTTAGATCATACATAACTACTTGAATACAATGAACATCATGTTAAAAAGCTACAGCATTTTAGAGATATTGTTATTTCCCTCCATGTAAATATACGCATTTAGAATAGAATGTGATCATTCCTCTATATTCTTTAGAGTTAAGCAAACTAATAGATGACTTCAGCAGGTCATATTAATTAACAATTTTCATTTCTTTTAATGCATCAATCTTCACATTTCAATACTGAACAATAAAGCACATAGATTTGCATACTAACTGGGGTTTAAAACTGGTGAGAAGCCATAAATACTACATTTTAACAGTATAAAGCTAGAAGCTTCATGTAGTATTTTTGTATCATAGGTTATCTGAAGCACTGTTGACCTTCAAGAACAACCGACATAACACTGAAACTGATTTGCATATAAGCAAGAATTTACTTGGGGAAAAGGTAGTGATGGTAGAGATGAAGTCCTTATCTGAGGTAAAGAGGCAAAAAATAACAGTATGTGATGAG